CCCATTTAATGGACTTTGGGTCTTTGTCAAAGATCAGGGGACAGTAGGTAGATGGATTTACATCTGGGTTCTCAATTCTGTTCCATTGGTCAATGTGTCTGTTGTTGTACCAGTACCAGGCTGTTTTGACTACCATAGCTGCATAGTAGGTTCTGAGGTCAGGTAGTGGGAGGCCTCCTACTTTATTCTTCTTCTTCAATAGTGCTTTACTTATCCAAGGCCTCTTCCCTTCCATATAAAGTTAATGATTAGTTTTTCCATATCTTTAAAGAATGCTGCTGGTATTTTGATCAGGCTTGCATTGTATTGTAGATTGCTTTGGGTAGAATTGACATTTTCTTAGTGTTGAGCTACCTATCCATGAGCATGGTACGTTTTTCCATTTATGTAGGTCTCTTTGGAGCACAGTGGTTAAGACCTACAGTGATCTATGGCTACTAACCAAAAGGCCGGCAGTTTGAATCCACCAGCCTCTCCTTGGAAACTCTATGGAGCAGTTCTAATCTGTCCTATAGGGTCGCTATGAGTCAAAATCGACTCGATGGCAATGGGTTTGGGTTTTTTACATCTCTTTTGGTTTCTTGCATTAGTGTTTGGTAGTTTTCTTTGTATAAGTCTTTTATGTCCCTGATTAGATTTATTCCTAAGGGTTTTTTTGTTTGTTTTTTTTAGGGGCTATTATAAATGGTCTTGATTTACTGATTTCTTTTTCATAGTTTTCCTTATTGGTGTATAGGAATCCAATTGATTCTTGTATGTTTATCTTGTATCCTGCTACTTTGCTGACTCTATTAGTTTTGGTATTTTTCTTATGGAGTCTTTTGGGTTCTGTATGTATAATATCATAGCATCTGCAAATAAGGATAGTTCTACTTTTTCCTTACCAGTTTGAATGCCCTTTATTTCTTTTTCTTGCTGTATTTATTTAGCTAGGGCTTCCAGCACAATGTTAAATAGGAGTGGTGATAAAGGGCATCCTTGCCTTATTCCTGTTCTCAGGGTGAATGTTTTCAGCCTCTCTCCATTGAGAATGATGTTGGCCATTGGTTTTGTATAGATGCCCTTTATTATGTTGAGGAATATCCCTTCTATTCCTGTTTTATTGAGAGTTTTTATCAGGAATGGGTATTGGACTTTATTGAATGCCTTTTCTGCATCAATTGAGATGATCATGTGATTCTTTTGTTTTATTTATGTGGTAGATTCCGTCGATTGATTTTCTAATGTTGAAACATCCTTGCGTACCTGGCATGAATCCCACTTGATTGTGATGTTTTTGTTTTGTCATACAGTGTTGAATTCTACTGGCTAGATTTTTGTTGAGAATGTTTGCATCTATATTCATGAGAGATATTGGTCTGTAATTCTCTTTTTTTGTGGTGTCTTTGCCTTTGTTTTTGGTATCAGGGTTATGCTGGCTTCATAGAATGAATTTGAAAGTATCCCTTCCTTTTCCATGTTCTGAAATAGTCTGAGTAGTACTGGAGTAAGTGCTTCTCTAAATGTTGGGTAGAATTCTCCAGTGATGCCATCTGGGCCAGGGCTTTTTTTTTTTTTTTTTAATTATTATCTTTTCAATCTCTTCTCTTGTTATGGGTTTGTTCAGAGTTTTGACCTCAGTTTGTGTTAGTTTAGGTAGGTAGTGTGTTTCTAGAAATTTATCCATTTCCTCTAGGTTTTCAAATTTGTTGGAATATAGTTTTTCATAGTACTCTGTTATGATCCTTTTTATTTCAGTTGGGTCTGTTGTAATGTACTCCATGTCATTTCATATTTGGATTATTTGCTTCCTCTCCTGTTTTTCTTTTGTCAGTTTGGCCAATGGATTTTTGATTTTGTTGATCCTTTCAAAGAACCAACTTTTGGTTTTGTTGATTCTTTCTACTGTTTTTCTATTCTCTATTTCATTTATTTCTGCTCTGATCCTTATTATTTCCTTTCTTCTGGTGGCTGTGGGCTTCTTTTACTGTTCTCTTTCTATTTGTTCAATGTGTATAGCTAATGTTTTTAGTTTGTCTCTTTATTCTTTTTTGTTGTGTGCATCTATTGCTATAAATTGGCCTTTGCTGTATCCCAAAGGTTTTGGTATGATGTGTTTTCATTCTCGTTTGATTCTAGAAATTTTTTAATTCCATCTTTGATTTCTTCTATTACTTAGTGGTTTTTAAGCAAAGTGTTATTCAGTGTCCATGTATTTGATTTTTTTTCCTTGCTTCTGCCATTATTGATTTCTACTTTTTTGGTTATGTCTGGGCAGGCGGGCTGGGCGTGTTTTGTTGCTTGCTCATCTGTGGGCAGGATACTTCTCACCAACTTGTCCAGGTGGGCAGGGCTGGTTGTTCAACTATGGTGTAGCAGAGCAGGTTCAGCAGAGGGGAGGAGCTGGGATGGGTTGTTTGTGGCATGAACTGGGGCCAACAGGGTGGGGCCAGGGTCAGTGCAGGGTGGGGGCCAGGTGTCTTGGGGTCTGTGCTGGTGCAGCTCAGGGGTGCAGCACTTGGCACACAGTGCAGCTAGGCAGGAGGGAAGGGAGAGGATGTGATGTGTGGAGCTAAGTGGGTGAGAGAAAGAAGAGAGAGAAACAGAAGCAAAAAAAAAAAATGAAGGGGGGAAAAAAGTGAATAAAATGACCACACAGTTGATTTTGGCGGGTGAGGGTGGGGGTCAGTCCAAGGAGGCTGTGTGTCAGTGGCCCTCTAGTGGAGCGGTGCAGCTCAGCCTGTTGAGAAGGGGCATGGGCAGCACACTGGGCTAGGTGGGCAGGAAAAAGTAAAGGAAAGAAGGGAAAGAGAAGAAACAAACAAAAACCAAAAACAACAAAAAATAAATATGGTGCTGAGGGAGCTGGCCATTGAGGGCAGAGCAGAATTATATTTACTATATAAATATTGTTTACTGCACTGCCACATGGTGTACTATGATTATAATTTTAACATAGAATTCCAGTGCAACTAAAGGAACATTGTCCTGGTATCAAAGGTCAAATGATCTTTTTATTTTAATTCTACTAATTGCACAAAATCACTCCAAATTTTAATTTTAATCAACTGGATCTTAACTTTTGTGTGCATTTTTTTTGTTTTTCCTAGAATTTATGATTCTCTTAAAGATTATAAACTGTTTTTGTTCCCCAAACCATATCCTAGATATTTTGTAGATTCTTAGTCATTCTACCTGCTTATTGGAATCATTTCTATTCCTCTTGAGTACTTTCTTTTTGGACCCCACTGACTTCTTGTCTTCATTTGGTCTGATTCCCTTTTCATCCTGCCGCACAGCATTCATACAGGCATTTCCCATCATCTTTGTTTCTTGGAATGTTCACCCTTCTTTTTCTGGAATATCTGCTGAAGTAATTTTTCTGAATATATATGTAAAAAGTATATAGCTTGAGCCTTTGCCTATAGTTAATAGATATTCAATCCTTATGTTTTTAAATAGCTGGCTTGGGCAACAAAAATCCAGGTTCCAAATTTTTCTTTCCCTCAGAACTATGAAGGCCTTGTTTCACTGTCTTCTAGTGTCTTACTTATCTAGTGCTGTTATAACAGAAATACCATAAGTGGATGGCTTTAACAAATGTAAATTTATTCTCTCACAGTCTAGTAGGCTGGAAGTCCAAATTCAGGGCACAAGCTCCAGGGGAAGGCTTTCTCTCTCTGTAAGCTCTGGAGGAAGGTCCTTGTCATCAATCGTCCCCTGGTCTAGGAGTTTCTCAGTGCAGGGACACCAGGTCCAAAAGATGTGCTCTGCTCCTGGCACCACTTTCTTGGTGATATGAGATCCTCCTGTCTCTCTACTCACTTCTCTCTTTTATATCTCAAAAAAGATTGACTCAAGATACAACCTAATCCTGTAGATTGAGTCCTACTTCATTAACATAACTGCTTCTAATTCTGCGTGATTAACATCATAGAGGTAGGATTTACAACACATAGGAAAAGCACATCAGATCACAAAATGGTGGACGATCACACAATACTGGGAATCATGGCATAGCCAAGTTGACACACATTTTCAGGGGACACAATTCAATTCATAACATCTAGGTTTCAGTATTATTGATGAAAAGTCTGATGCCAATGCGATGTTCATTCCTTTGTAGTGACTTGTTTTATCTTCTTTAAAACTTTAGGATCTTCTCTTTATTCTTGGTGTTCTGAAAACTATTTACTTATTAATATGCAAAATTATGTATAATATTAGCTTAGTTCATTATATATAATTGTATAGTTAGAAATAATGTTCATATTTTTAAGAAACTGAGTGGCTTCTATTTTCCAGTCACCACACTATACAGTATAACATATGTTGTCTTTTCTATATCCTTATACCAATCTCATTAGATATAATACTGCCATATATAGCTGGGTTATCTGAAGATTAGAGTCTCTTCTGAAGATAACCTAGTATTTAATAGTAGTAAATAGCACAGCAAGGATTTGATCTCAACACAACGTTTCTCTAATACAGCTTTTTCAAACCCTTTCATAGATTCATATCCTCTCATAAATTCCACATAATAAATACATCTCTGATTAAACTAATATCACACCATTTTAGAGTTAGAAAAGGATCTGTAAAAATACAGTTCAATTCCCTGCTTGAATGGCAGGTATACGACCTGTCCAAGGGTGTATGATTAGTTACGGTGGGCTCCATTTTAAGCACTTGACTGTGTTCAAGAATTATGTGACCAGGGAGCTCTGTAAGCCAAGCATGGTGGTTAGATCAGGTTCTAGCATTAGACCACCTGGGTTCAAGTCCTGAACCCCCATCTTTACCAGGTAAGACCTTAGGTAAATTATGTAATCTGAAAGCTTCAAGTTCTTTGTCTATAAAGCAAGGATGGTTGCAGAATTTGCTTCACGGGGTTGTTGAGGGGAATGAATGAAATAATCCACAGGAAGTGCTTGGCTCAACCTGGCCCAGAGTAGGTGCTCAACAGGTGTCAATTGTCATTGTTATTCCTGTTAGTCTAACACCTATGGAATACATACCTTCAGACCGGGGTTTTTCCTCATCCGCAGCCTTCCCATCCACATATCAGTCAACAGCATCTGGCTGCAGGTGTGGGCTATGAAGTCTCGGTGTTTGGCTGCGACAGCCAGTTTGAGGCAGGTTGAGTTGCTCCAGTTTTTCAGCTCGTAAGTCAGAAGTTTCATGGCAATCTGCTCATCATGCTTATAGGACTGGTCCAACAACTCCATAGCAAGCTGGCCGAAGTCTCTGGGAAAAAAGAAGTGGAATAGTCAGTGAAGCCAGAGTGGCCATGGCTGTTTTTTAGAGAGATGTGTCTACAGGGACTTTATGGAGCCACAGGATGGAAAGTCCTTGATTGAAAAGGGCTGTGACATCTTGTGCAAAGCAAGAAGCTCACAGAGTAGGTCCCTGGCTGTGGACAGCCTGGCCAGGGGTGGAGGCTGTGCACTCAGCCAGGTTGGGGCTGATTCTGGTGTGGGACTGCTCTTACTGCAAATAGAACTTTAGGTTGACCCCAACATCTGCCTCGCAGGTCCTCATGGCACAGAGGAGAAGATGAAATTGCTTCCCTCAAGGAGTTCACGGAACAGGGACACAGACAGAAAAGACAACAAAGGTTGAGTTCAAAAACAGCTCGTGTGGGGTTGGAGGTCAGAATAGTGCTACCCTTGGTGGGAAGAGGGGTGGGGATCGACAGGGGACACAGGGAGGGCTTGGAGTCTGGGCTTTCTTTCTCAGTCTGGTATTGGTCCTATAGGTGTGTTCTCTCTGGGGCAGTTGTCAGCCCTGTGTTTAGGAAAAGAGCCCTTTCTGTGTGCATGTTACTCATCAATAACATATTCACTCCAGGAGGAGTCGACATTCTCAGTACAAGACAGAGACATGGCATGGATTTCATGGGGGCCCACATGAGGGAGAGAGGATCTATTGCTGGGGTGGTGGTGATGGGGGTGGGGTGGAGAAGGTGATGCAAGAGGAATTTTGAACATAAAATCTCTTTCCTTTTCCACATGACCCTGATTTAAATATTTGATGCTAGCCATAAACATTCTCAGTCCCAACTCTTTTTTTTCCATGGAATGTGGCTAAGATATCCTCCCATGCTGATCACATTCCTGTTTTTGTTCCTCCATTTTATAGAAGATTTTATGAGCTTATGAGCTGAAGGACAAAGAAGGGTGGGATTATGTGGGGGTACTGCCATCTCTTCCTGGAAGACGAGTGATTCTCTGCAGTACCTTCTGGCCTTAGATCCTGCTAGCTGCAGGTGACCCATCACTGTGTGAGTCCTCTAGGAAGGAGGGGGGTGGCATCTATGCAACCCCCTGAAGTAGATGAACACATCCCCGCTTTTAGACAGTATTCAATTCTTAACATTTAGAAATCAACTAGTAATTTTGGGGACCATCCAGTCCTAAATAAAAGCAACATGCTTCAGAAAACAAAGATGTTAGATGTTGGCAGAGTTGCCTGTATATGATTCAAGTTCAGGTGTCTATAAAGTTGTACCCCTCTTCAGTGTATGTTTCCTTATGGAAATGTGTTTCCTTGTCTTTGCATTAAAACTGTGTTTTAATAGTTTGCATGAGAAGGTAGTAAATGAAAACAAGGACCATGAAGAAACTTAGGACCAAATACCTCAGTGGAACATCAGGAAAAATATTGATATGATGGACAAAGTAATTTATGAACACGCATTAGACATAATTGTATTTAAGTACATTTTGCCACCCTTCCTCCAAAGGGACAAGTACTCAGGACAACAGTCTCTTTTGGTCTGTAAGTTCTCTTTAGACACTAACTTTGAATTGTTGTCCAAGTCCTGGGAGATGTCATCCACCAGCTCACTCTCAGAGGACTCGTGGGCCATGGATTTGTAAAGTTTGCAGGCCACGAGGGCCTTGGCCATGCTCTCCTCTCCTCGCTGCCAGAGGAAGACCGCCATCTTCTGGCGTTTCATCAGCACCGCCCACACCATCAGCTCATGGAAGGGGTACTGGAAACGGCTCACAGCGGGGTCATCCAAGTCGATGTCGATCTCTTCCTCTTTTTTCTTCTTTTTCTTTTTCTTCCCTTTGGCTGGAGGTTCATCATCCTGAGGGGAGAAAAGCATATTTTTCATGGTTGGCTATAAATGTGCAACAAAGTGTTTCTGAATGACTGCCAAAAAGAAAAAAGTTTTGCCAGAGGTAATAAAGAGGCTTCTTAAGCACGTCTTAAGTTTCCACCAGTAAGACTTTGGACCAGTTCAAACCGGTTCAGTCATGGCCAATGAAGCAATACCAGAAGAGACCTGAATTTTTACAATTTGGGTGATCTGGAGCAATAACTGGAAAGGGAAAATTTATGGGTCAAAGCCTTGGAATGGGAGACTTGGAAGAGGTGTAGTGAGCCCTTTCAGGAGCCTGATGCATGAGATTGGATTATGGCAGGACTGTGGAGAGCAACACACATTCAAAGCATCAAGGTCAGCCACCATCTTGCAGTGGGGCACCACTGTTCCAACTCTGCTCAAAATCCAACTGGCAAGATATTTGGTTGCTACGCAACAAGTATGTTGCCCTTGTTTTCTAAGAGGGAGATTAGGTTTCTAGCAGGACTTTGACCAGTAATTTCTCCTGTTCTGGTTATTGTCTTGGTTCACTCAAATTTTAAAAATTTGGGTATGTTCCAGTTTCGCTTACTCAGCCATGACTAAACCGGGAAGAACCTTTGAAGCCCTGCCCACTAGGTAGATTTATTTTCTTGAAAAGATGCGTGTGTCTATCATAATAAGTAAATCATCTAAAACTGAAGGAACTGAAAAGGTGGGCTACTATTTAAATAACTTATACCCCTGGGTTAACAGTTTTTCAGAAGCCCTTAACTGAGGAGATGCTGCTAAAACTACAATAACAATGCAAAATGCAAGTAGCACTGTGGGATAGGTGAAGAGTCCATTGTTTGTTTCTTCAGGGAAGACTTTTAGCACAGTGAAAATGTCAATACTCATTTGCCAGACATAGCTGAACCATGAATCAATAGGAAAAATATAAAAGGCAATGGAAAAAAATGTTTTAGGTTTCGCCACTGGTGTTTTAAGAAAGCAAACATTGAATTTTGGATGAGTGCTATCCTTTCATGTTGTGGTACAAATGGAGCACAAACATCTCCCATTTCCTAAAGCAATTACAAGGGATGGTTCTGAAAATGGATCAGGATCCTAAGAAAGGCAGCTCTGAGACTTGGGAGTAGCCTGGAAACATGTAGGGGCTTAGACTATTCTGAGCCAAGATTTTAGTACTAAAGGTAATAATAGAAACAGATATTTGCTCTTTGGCAATGAGCCTTCTCATCCATGATCTGCCTTTATTCTTACAGCCACTCTGACAGATTATGAATTTCTTCCATTCCTCAGAAGAGAAAGTGGTGGCTTAGAGTTGCCCACATTCACACAGCTGGAAGGGGCTGGAGCCTGGGCAGAGCCTGGTTCTCCAATTCCTGTCATGTGCTGTTTCATGACTGACCCAATTTCTACACAATTATAATGAGTTATTATAATATGCTAATTGAAAACATACCATCTGGCCTCAGATTTAAATGTTTTTGTTTTAATTTTGTAGGTATGGATGGTTTTGTCACATAACACTACAAATCACAGTAATTTTAGGGAAGGTTCATCTATACAGGTTAAAAATTGACATATATTTAAAAATAAATACAGCTTTGTTTTCAGGAATATAGAATAAACTCAACTAACGGCTAACAAAGTGTGGTAAAACAAGCTCTTTTAAGCCTGTCTTTCAATAATATGTAATATTACTAAAATATTGACTGCATGCAAATTCTTTTAAAATAATTTTAAGAATGCTAGAGAGAGAATATAACAAAAAAGGGACTAATTTCCCTAACATGCAAAGACTTCCACAAATCAATAAGCGCAAGAGAACCCAATAAAACCATAATGGATCTGAACTGGAAGTATAAGGAGAAATTGACACATCCACAATCATAGTAAGAGTCTAAATGCACCTCATATAGAAACTGAATATAGAAACAAATTGAATAACATACCTAACAAGTTTGATCTGACAAATAAATGTAAGAATTGTACCCAACAAACAGAGAGCACATTTATTTCAAACACACATGTATCATTAACATAAATCAACCCCACTTCCTTTGAGATTTCCTCTCAACAAATTCCAAAAAGCGGAAAGGGTATAGTCTACATTCACGGAATAAAATTAGAAATTAATGACAACAGGATAACAACAACAAAAAAACTCTGTATCTGGAAAATTTTAAATACCCTTCTAAATGACTTTTAGATTAACAAGGAAGTTGTAAACTATTTAGCAAAGAATGGCCAAACCTGTGGGCTGCTATGAAAACAATGCTCAAGGAAAAATTTTTATCTTTAATGCATTTATTGGAATACAAAGGAGATTGAAAATGAGTGAATTACACAGTAACTCTGTAGAAAGTATATGGAAGGAATGAATAAAAATAAAAACAGACATTAATAAAACGGCAAAAAGAAAGTTGCTTGATAAAGTAAAAATGCAAATCAAATATGTAGGCAAGTATAGTTAAGAAAAAAAAAAGAGAGAAGATATAAATTAAAAAATTGGAACAAGGAACGCACACAACTAAAGATACTGAGGAGATTGAAAAAATTAGAGTACTATGTAAAAGTTTATACCCATGAACCTGAAAATTTAAATGAAATAACTTATTTTCTAGGGAAACATAAATGACTGAAGTTGACTTTTGAAGACAGAAAGCCTGCATGGGCTCATAGCTACAAAAGTTATTATAAAGGTAGTCAAAGATAAGAAAAACCAGTAGCCTTCGAGTAAATTCCAACTCATAGAGATCTCATGAGTCAAAGATCTAAAAATACCAAACCTGTTGCCATCGAGTCAATTCCAATCCATGAGTCAAAGATACACACTTAATAAATGGCACACAGTCCAAGCTATTTTATAGGCAAGTTCTATCCAAACTTCACGGGACAGATAATCCCATATGACATAAAGAGTTTGAGAAATAGGGAATTATGGGAAGTTCCATGCCATAATCCTTATAGTAACACAAATCCAACAACAGAGATACACCAATGCTAAAGCTCAAGCTTAATTGTGAACACATAATTAATAAAATCTTCTACCTGAATCCATACAGAAATTGAGGTGCTATAAACTCGTAAATTTATTTGAGAAGATCCTTTACAATAGGCAGTCTTAACATTTGGTGTTAGGGTATTTTTTTTATCAATAATTTAAATATTTTTCTATCTAGTGCTTTGATATTGTAAAATACATACTTCATACCTTTCTAGGTAAGATTATTTCTGGGTTCTTTTGCCCTTTTGTGAGAGAGATTTCATTGATTTTCCTGGGTTTTCTAAATATACAATATTTTTGGCAGATAATCATTTTCTCCACTTTTTAGATATTTTCTCTTTATTATTTATTTTTTTCAGGTCTTAGAATTTCCGGAACATTTTAAAAATCTAGCAGGGATAATGATGATGCCAACCATAATGGGCATCCTGTCTTGTTCTTGATTTTAATAGAAATGACCACAGTGCTTCACTACTCAGTACTAGCGTCCTCTCCCTGTAAGATACACATGCATTTAATCATATCAAGAAAGAACTTTTACTTACCATTATCTTTCTAGTGAACTAACTTTTTTTTTTAATTGAAGAATGTGTTTTACATTTTGTCAAATTCCTTTTCAGTGTCTATTGAAAACTGATCATGTCACACTTTTTTCCTTTTTTGACTTATTGATATTATGTAATATACTAAAGAGTTACTTACAATAAGTTATATTTTCATTCCTGGAAGACTTTAATTACTTGTTTAGGACTTTAAAAACATTCTATTGAATTTCTTTTGGCATTATTTGTGATTTTTGCATGTGTAAGTAGCATTTTTGTTTGTTTGTTTTTAGTTTAATCTTTGCTTTTCAAATCTTGGTTTTAATAATTTTATAAAATGAATTGGGTAGCTTTTACCCTTTCTCAGGTGTGGGATTCTTTCATATAATTCGGATAAATCATCTAAGTAAATTTTGGTGAGTAACGTAGTGGGTTTATTCCTGGAAAACAAACTTGTTCAAACTGTGTTAAATAAATACAAAGCTAAGATGACTACATATATTTAATCAAGATATCATAAAACTATTGAAAAGAATTCCTACTTACTTCCATTCCCAGAAGTTTAAGAGCTTTGGGCTGCATAATGAAAAGGGAAAATAAATCAATTTACACAGATAACTAATGTTAATAGCAGTAATGACAGCAGAACATTAGTGGTATTAAGGTTAGTAATAGACATAATAATAGATTAAAAAGGACTTTGTATCATTAACAATTAATGATAATATCCAAGGAAGGGAAATGTTTTAATATGAAAACTCTCCTTCTGTCAGCAGAAGTCAGTTGAGGAGAAATGGATGCACCAAAGTGACTCTTATTCCAGGCAGCATCAAAGGCGTTCTGGACCAGAAGCCCAGATACAGAGCTACAGGGCTCTAAGTGGAAGGGACAGGATCACTCCAAGAAGGACCTACCATTTGAGATGGTGTTGCAATAAGAGTAGGGTTTTGAAAAGCCCTGATTGGGGGAAAGACATAGTAGGCACATAAATTCATTTTGACTTTAGCAGAGGTCCGGGGATGGAGGTAGGACTGTTCCACCATGATGGGGCAGGATGGCTAATAGAAAGCCTCAGATGCTGAGATAATGAGCTTGACCATGACTCCCCAGGCAGTGGGTGGCACTGGGAGCTTTTGAGAAGCGCAAGCGCTGTCATGTCCCTCACTTTGGAGGATTATGGAAGCTACAGCGGTAGGACAGATTGGAGAAGGCAGAGATGGCAGCAAGGGAACCCAGGAGGAAGGAGGCCATATGCAATCGATGGGCTGTACTGGCTGACTTGCTAAGTGAGTGAAGGAGAGTGACTCAATGCCCAAGCCTGGGTGCCTTCCAGGATGGTGGGGCTTCACACCTAAGACTCATTGTAGGAGGAGAGGAAGGTGTGCTTGCGGGTAGAGTGATGACTTTGTCTGTTAGGTTGGGAGGCTTCACACCTAAGAGTCACTGAAGAGGAAGGCAGGTGTACTCGGGGGTGGAGGGATGCGTTTGGCTTTGAACAGGTTGAATTATTGAAAAAAGCAGCAAGGAACCCAATGTGATTCCTGAAACCACAGAACACTACAGGTTAACTTAGTTCTACCCTTTTTGGTCCAAACAAATTGTTGTAAAGGGTCCGAAAACTTTTCCTAGTGTAGTTGCAGCGGTAGGCTCCTCCCATGAGGTACTCGAGCACAAGCCCTATGTCGATGAGGCTGATGTGGTAATCAGGTGGAAGGTTTCCCTGTAAGAAAGAAGTTTGGTCTGAGTACCTGTAAGAATACATTTTAAAAAGCCAGTTGCCTTTGAGTCGACTCTGACTAGTGGTGACCTCACATGTGTCAGAGTAGAACTGGGCTCCATAGGGTTTTCAAAGGCTGATTTTTCGGAAGTAGATCACCAGGCTTTTCTTCTGAGGCCCCTCTAGACTTTTGATTAGCCACCGAGCACATTAATTATTTGCACCACCCAGGGACTCCAAGAATACATTCCAAACCAAACCCACTGCCATCGAGTCTATTTTGACTCATAGCGACCTTGTAGGACAGAGAAGTGTCCCATAGGGTTTCCAAGGCCATAAATCTTATGGAAGCAGACTGCCACATCTTTCTCCCTGGGAGCAGCTGGTGGGTTCGAACCACTGACCTTTCTGTTAGCAGCCGAGAACTTACCCACTGTGCCATCTGGGCTCCTTAAGAATATACTAGCGATGTGGAATTCACCACACACCTCAGGCAGGACTGATCATTCCCAGTCCCAACTTGCATCAGTTAATGTAACTGGTGGGGGTTTATGCAATAGTCTATTACCAGGTGATTAAGGGGGACAATGCATTAGTTAGAAAGCCACGTGTCTGTAGGCTAGATGGCTGGGTGTGCTCATGGGCTTGGACCAGATGGTCTGTAGTCCGAATGTGGAAATGCAGAGAAAGTGGTGTTGTGCAGCTGGCCTGAGACCTCCTTTGTGAGAGCAGATTACTTTTGATGAGAAGGTGCTTTGGTAGTGCTTGTAGGGTCTGGAGTCCAGAGTTCGTGCAAAAGGAGGAAGTGGCAGGGTAATGGGGGAGGACTTCATGAGAGGCAGAGGGAGGATGGAACATACCTGGGGCTGGGGCTGTTTGGGTGAAATGCTCTGCACAGTGCCCGCAGACTCTGAGGGGCCACCAGGTCTTCAGTAAGAGCACAAACACCACAAACTATTTGAGGTGATTAGGAGGCACTGAAGGGGGAGAGTTGTGCCTCAAAGCTGAAGAGGGTCTGCTGAGACAAAGTTGGCATGGTGGTGGAGCGGAGAGGGATATCCCAAAAAAGAGGCTGCCCCCTGAGAGGGCCCAGAACAATAGAAGGTGTATCTTGCCTGCAAAGGACTCTGGGAGAGAACCGGAGTATCTTACTGAGCAGTGACCTGGGCCAGGAGAAAACACACCACACACCTGACTTCTGGGTAACGTCAATCGGAACCCTCTAGCTAGTACGAAATAAACCCCATCCATCATAGATTGGACATTTTTTTCCTGAGTCACTTGCAAGTATCCTTGCACATAAGCACTAGGTGTATAAACCTGCATCCCACACGGCCCTGCATGGACCACTACCTGGGTGACACTTGATGCTTCGCTGTCCCTGTCGAGGATCTTGGCGCTGACCTCTGTGTGTAAGTTCCCTAACAAAGCTTTTTCTGAGCAACATGGCCTTTACTGATGCCTCTTTTTATGGAATCCAACCTGTGTCCCTTTGGAGCCACTCCTACAGCTGCTCCGGTGGGGTGCCATGCCCCCAAATTGAAACAAAAATCATTCAGGGGTGTGGCAGAGCTGACCAGCCCTTTATAGGAATTTTTGCCCAGAGTCTTTTATTGCTCAGAGGCCCTGGGTGTTGTCTTTTTGTGACTGACTTATTACACTCAGCATAATGCCCTCTAGATTCATCCATGTTGTGAGATGTTTCCCAGATTCATCATTGTTCTAACCGAAAGGTTAGAGATTAGAGTCCACCCCAAGGCACTTCAGAAGAAAGGCCTGGCAATCTACTTCTGAAAGATCACAGCCATGAAAACCCTATGGAACACGGTTCTACTCTGACACATATGGGGTTGCTGTAAGTGAGAGACAACTCAAAGGCAACTGGTTTCTTTAACTATTTTTTAAATTTTATTTATTTTGTTGTTGTTGAGAATATACACAGCAAAATATATACCAATTCAACAGTTTCTACGTGTACAATTCAGTGACATTAATTACATTCTCACCATCCTTTTCTGAGTTGTTCCTTATTAACGTAAAATCACTGTCCTCTAAATTTCCTACCTAATCTTTCAAGTTGCTGTTGTCAGTTTGATCCCATACAGATAGATCTTAAAAGAGCATAATGCTGAAGGCAAACTTTTTTTTACTAGTTAAGCTAGCCTATTGTTTGGTTTTATGAAGACTTCAGGGGATGTTTCTGGTTTAAGGTTTAAACATTATCTCAGGGCAATAGTTTCAGAGGTTCATCCATCCTCCATGGCTCCAGAAAGTCTGGAGTCCATGAGAATTTTAAATTCTGTTCTGTATTTTCCCCTTCTTGATCAGGATTCCTCTATAGAATCCTTGATCAAAATATTCTGTAATGGTAGCTGGGCACCATCCAGTTCTTCTGGTCTCATAGCAAAGGAGGAAATTTTTCAAGGAGGCAAGTAGCCACACATTCCATATCCTCATCCTATTCTTGACTCTCCTTCTTCCTCTGTTGCTCCAAGTAAACAGAGACCAGTTGTGATGCCTTGGATGGCTGCTTGTAAGCTTTTAAGACCTGAGGCACTATAAAATGAACCAGTAGGTAGAACAGAAGCACTAAACACGTTGTTAGGCCAATTAACTGGGACGTGCCATGAAATCATGACCCTAAACCTCCAAACCAAGGAAACAAATCCCATGAGGTTTTTGGCTGTACATAAGCAGCCTCAGCAACTACTCTTTTTTTTTTTGTCATTGTTGTAAATATATCTATCACATAATTCTTGCCAATTCAATTTTTCATAGGTGTATAATTTACTGACAGCAATTATAATAATTGGCCGTGAAAAATTATAAAGATCATGGAAGAAAAAATAGGGTCAATGCTAGAAGCCCTAATATATGGCATAAATAGGATACAAACCACAACTAACAATATACAAATGCCAGACGATAATCTAGATAACTGAGATCTTCTAAAAATTAAACACTTATGCACATCAAAAGACTTCACCAAAAGAGTAAGAAGAGAACCTACAGAATGGGAAAAATTTTTGGCTATGACATATTCAACAAAGGTTTAATCTCTAAAATCTATAGGACAATCCAACACCTCTACAACAAAAAGACAAATTATCCAATTAAAAAATGGGCAAAGAATACGAACAGACACTTCACCAAAGAAGACATTCGGGCGGCTAACAGACACATGAGGAAATGCTCAAGATCAGTAGCCATTAGAGAAATGCAAATCAAAACTACAATGAGAGACCATCTCACTCCAACACTACTGGCATGAATCAAAAAAACAGAAAATAACAAACATTGGAGAGGCTGCAAAGAGAATGAACTTACTGGTCTGACAGAGACTGGAGAAACCCCGAAAGTATGGCCCCTGGAAATCCTATGAATTTCTGGTGGGAATGCAAAATGATATAACCATTTTGGAAAACAACATGGCACTTCCTTAAAAAGTTAGAAACAGAAATACCAGATGATCCAGCAGCCCACTCCTAGGAATACATCCTAGAGAAATAAGAGCCATCACACGAATAGACATATGCACACCCATGTTCATTGCAGAATTATTCACAATAACAAGAAGACAGAAACAACCTAAGTGTCCATCAACAAATTAATGGAGAAACAAACTGTGGTACATACATGCAATGGAATAGTATGCAATGATAAAGAACAATGATGAATCTACAAAACATCTCACAACGTGGATGAATCTGGAGGGCATTATGCTGAGTGTAATAAGTCGATCACAAAAGGACAAATACTGTATGAGATCACTATTATAAAAATTCATGAAAAGGTTTACACACAAAAAGAAACAATCTTTGATGGATACGAGACAGGGAAGAGGTAGGGAGGGAAAAACACTAACTAGACAGTAGATAAGTGGTAACCATGGTGAAGTGTAAGACAATACACAATACTGGGGAAGTCAGCACAACTTGACCAACGCAAAAATCATAAAAGCTTCATAAACACATCCAAACTCCCTGAGGGACCAAATTACTTGGCTGAGGGCTGGGGACCATGGTCTCAGGGGACATCTAGCTCAATTGGCATAAGATAGTTTATAAAGAAAGTGTTCTACATCCTACTTTGGTGAGTAGTGTCTGGGGTCTTAAAACCTTGTGCGTGGCCATCTAAGGTGCTCCACTGGTCCTACTCCATCTGGAGCAAGGGAGAATGAAGAAAACCAAAGACACAAGAGAAAGATTAATCCAAAGGACTAATGGACAGCAACTACCACAGCCTCCACCAGATTGAGTCCAGCACAACTAGATGGTGCCCAGCTACCACCACTGACTGCTCTGGCAGAGATCACAATAGAGGATCCTGGACAGAGCTGGAGAAAAATGTAGAACAAAATTCTAACTCACACAGAAAGACCAGACTTACTGGTCTGACAGAGACTGGAGAAACCCTGAGAGTATGGCCCCCGGACATCCTTTTAACTCAGTACTGAAGTCACTCCCAAGGTTCACCGTTCAGCCAAAGATTAGACAAGCCTATAAAACAAACAATAACACATGTAGTTCAACCATGTATATGAGACTAAATGGGCACACCAGCCAGGGGGCAAGAACGAGAAGGCAGGAGGGAACAGGAAAGCTAGACCAATGGAAATGGGGAACCCAAGGTCAAAAAGGGGAAACTGTTGACACATTGTGGGGTTAGCAATCAATGTCACAAAACAGTATGTATATTAATTGTTTAATGAGAAACTAACTTGCTCTGTAAACTTTCATCTAAAGCACAAACACATACCCCTACACACAAAAGAACTTTTGAGAAAAAAAAGAAAAAAGAGATGAGTGGTAGGAAAAAGAAATTGGCTGTGCAACCCTACCTTTAATCAATGCGATATTTCTATCACCATTACCCCTTTTTCCCTTCCTCCCACCCTTGGTAACCACCAATACACTTTGGCCTCTATACATTTGCCTTTTCTTGTCTTTTTACATAAGTGAGGTCATAGAATATTTGTCCTTTTGTAATGGACTTTTATCACTCAGCATAATGTCTTCAAGCTCCATCCATAGTGTAGCATGTATCAAGACTTCATTTCTCCTACTTTCCCCAGGGAAATCAGTGGTATTCCATTGTATGTATGTATATACCACGTTTTGTTTACCCATTCATCTGTTGATGGGCATTTAGGTTGTTTTCACCTTTTGGCTATTGTGAATAGTGCTGCAATGAACATTGGTGTACAAGTCTCTGAGTCCCTGCTTTCAAGTCTTTTGGGTATATAGCTAGGAGTGGAATTGCTGGGTCATATGGTAGTTCTGTTTTTAATTTTTTGAGGAACTGCCACACTGTTTTCCACCAGAGCTGTACCATTTGGCATTCCCACCAGCAATGGATAAGGGTTCCAATTTCTCTACATCCTTGCCAACATTTGTTATTTTCTGTTTTTTTTTTTTGAGGCTGAGCTATCTTAGTGGGAGTGAAATGGTATCTCCTTGTGGTTTTGGTTTATTTATTGATTGATTAATTTCATATGGCTGAGATGATGGTGATAACCTGGGGCCCATCACATGATGATCACACATCTGAAATGTCCTCCTTTAAATTAGGACTAGCCACACTTGCTAAATCATTCACTCCTGCGTCAAGTGTTCGTTAGTCTTGTTGTGCTCCCTGACGGTGTGGGGGATTCCATGTAGAGATAAGAAGGGCCAGACATGCTCCTAAGGGGGGAAGAACAAAACTATAAACAGCTCCAAAGTAGCAGCACATGCTGCATGCATAGGAGGAGAGGCCCAAGTTCTGCCTGGGGTGCAGGTGGGGGATGAGAAAGGGCCTCCCTGAACAGAGCCTCCTCGGTGCTCAGGCCTGCGGAGCAGAAGTGCAGGTGGTGAGGTGAGAGCACTGTGGACTTGAGCAAGGCATGGACCAGGACAGGTCACGACCCCTTCGGGGTTGAGCATAGAGTGTGGTAGGGACGTGACGGGGCTGGGAGGGGAGCAGGGCACGGCCAGACCCCAGTGTGGGGGTAGTTTCTTGGAACCAGCTTAAGCTTCACTGTGTGGCTCATGGTGGGAGGACTCTGAAGGATTTGAGCAGGGAGTCCCATGACTGGAGATGGTGGAGGGACGAAGATTATTAAAGCCATTCAGGTGAGAAATCATTGGGTGTAGACCTGGGTAGCTGCAGTTTTTGAATATTTGTATATCATAATCTATCCTCCCTGGGGGAAATCAGATGCCTTATGTGGAAAACCAGGGCACTGGGTCACAGGGTCTTTGACATCCCTCTCGGTCCCCAAATCCACTGATTCTGCTCCAATCTAATGAGTGCTGTAGAGGCCAAATTCTTACATTATTAGAATTATATATTTGCCTGAAATATAACCAGATTAGCTAGGATTCTCACTGAAAACTATTCTACCATTTTGAATTATTTTCTCTTGCTCAGAATATTAATAAATGCTGCACACTTTGCCTGCCAAGGACTTCGTTCTAGCAAAATGAATCACTTTTATATTGTTGTTGTGGTTGTCAGCTGCCCCTAAGTCTGTTCTGAGTCATGGCAACCCCATGCACAAATGAATGAAACACTGCCCAGTACTGCTCCGTCCCCATGATCGGTTGTGGATAGGACTACTGTCATTCACAGGGTTTTCACTGGCTGATTTTCACAAAAGTCGATTGCCAGGCCTTTCCTCCTAGTCTGTCTTAGTCTGGAAGCTCTGCTGAAACCTGTTCAGCATCATAGCAACACACAAGCTTCCACTGACAGGCAGGTGGTGGCTGTGTATGAGGCGCATTGGCTGGGAGTTGAACTGAGTCTCTGCATGGAAGGCGAGAATTCCACCACAGAGCCACCGATGCCTCACCCCCTTTTATGTTAGTCCAATCTAATCCTCTAGCCTGTGGCTACGCGACTCAGGAAACGTCAGGATGGAACAACGAGTAAGCCAGGCCCTATGAGAGCATGAACTTTAAGTGGTTAGTAGCAATGGGAAGTGGGAAGAAATGTCTATCACTTCATACCGGGAGGACACGAAAGGCAAGAAAAATTGCTCTAATCAAGGCACACACACAGAGTGAGATGAGGCACCTCCGACTGTGCTTCTGGAAAGGGGCAGCACGATGAGGTGAGTGACAGAGTTTGAAGTGGATCTATAACACGGGGCTTGGTTGGCTGACGGCGGTGCCTCAGGTGATCAGTACCACAGCCGCCTCACCCGCGGCTGCCCTGTGTTTGGTAATGGTGCCAACACGTAAGCAGGCAGCACTCAGAACGACCTGTCATGAGTGGGGATGGATATTCAACTTTAAAAGCATTACTTTTAGGTCAACTCTTTTTACATGAGAGAGGACTGCATTGTCTCTCATGCCTCAAATAATGAGAATTCAATACATCTTGGAAGTTAAAAATGGCTTTTTAAAAATGTTTTAGTAAAAGATGCCAATTGGTAAGGACTATAGACCAGTAGACTGACCTTTTTGACATCTCTCACCAGCAGATGAAGTGTGTTTGGTGGGCCCAGTCTCTGCAAGAGAAGCATTCAGCCATGTCAGCTATTTTCTTGGAGAAAATCAATATCCTTCTGTACAGAATTACTGAATTATGATAGCCGTACTGTGGGTCACTATCGGCTTGTTTCTTTCTTTCTCTTTTTAAATTTTTATTGTGGTGAAATATTGATAACAAAATATTTGCCAATTCAACCATTTGTATGCATACAATTCAGTGACATTAATTACTGTCACCGTGTATGCAATCGTTACCGCTATCACCTTTAACAGAAACGCCGAGCCACTAAGCAATGACCACCCTTCCCCTCCCTCCGGTCCCTGGTAACTATTAAAGAGCTTTGGTCTCTGTGCTTTGTTTCTTTCAAGAGGCAGAGATGGTCGTGGTTAAGTACCCAACACCTTAAAATATATGTTAAATACTTCTTAGGGAATTATTTTAAAGCATATCTTACAATGTCAAATATTGTGTTAAAACTTCGCATACAAGTTTTAGCAAGTAATTACAAAGGATCATTTCTGCTACTTAAAATTTTAGAACATGGAAGGAAACGTAAATCCTCAAAATTTATATTGTAATAACAAACCAAGGGGATTTCATTCAAATACTTCCATTCTATACAGTGGAGCTTATTCCTGTGACAGCTTAGGTCTACATATTTCACGGGAGCCTTATAAAAAAGCGGAGTTACAAGAAGCAAATAGATGCTCATCCCTGGTAACTTTTCACTCTGTTTATGACTTATGAAGCTGGATTCTCTCTCTTTTTTTTTTTTTTTGCCAATTCAGTTTTTTACAGGTGTACTATTTATTGACAGTAATTACATTAATTGGGTGTGCAACCCTACCCTTTCCATCACCGTAAACCAAAACTCAGTACTCCATAAACAATAACCCACCACCCTTCCCTCTCTCCCACCATAGTAACCACTAATAAACTTTGATGTCTATACATTTGTCTGTTCTTGTCTTTTTATATAAGTGAGGTTGTAGAATATTTGTCCTTTTGTGATTGACTTATTTCACTCAGTATAATGTCGTCAAGCTCCATCCATATGTATCAAGACTCCATTTCTCTTACTGGCAGAGTAGTATTCCATTGTATGTATGTACCACATTTTGTCTATCCATTCATCCACTGATGGGCATTTAGGCTGTTTCCACCTTTTTGCTATTGTGCTGCAATGAACACTGGTGTACAAGTATCTGAATCTCTGCTTTCAAGTCTTTTCAGGACTGCCATGTCTTTTTCCCACAAAGCAGCTGGTAGGTTCGAACCACTTCTTTCAATACCTAGGAGTGGAGTTACTAGGTCATATAGTAGGTCTACTTTTAGTTTTTTAAGGAATTGCCACACCGTTTTCCACAACGGCTGTAATATTTTTCATTCCCACCAACAATGGATAAGGATTCCAATTTCCCCGCATCCTCACCAACATTTGTTATTTTCTGTTTCTCTTTAGTTTTTTTTTTTTATCTTAGCCATCCCTGCTGGGGAGCCCTGGTGGCACAGTGGTTAAAAGCTATGGATGCTAACCGAAAGATCAGCAGTTCGAATCTACCAGCCACTCCTTAGAAACCCTATGGGGCAGTTCTCTTCTGCCCTGTAGGGTCACTATGAGTTGGAATGGACTCATCAGCCATGGGGTTATCCCTGCTAGTGCTGTGGTTAAAGAGCTTGGCTGCTAAGGGTAAAAGTCAGCAGTTCAAACCCACCAGGTGCTCCATGGTAAAAAGATATGGCAGTCTGCTTCTGTGAAGATAACAGCCTTGGAAGCCCTGTGAGGCAGTTCTACTCTGTCCTATAAGGTCACTATGAGTATGAATTAGCCATCCTAATGGGAGTGAAATGGTATCTTGTTGTGGTTTTGATTTGCATCTCTTTGATGGCTAATGACACTGAGCATCTTTTCACGTGTTTGGTGGCCGTTTGAATGTCCTCTTTGGTGAAATGCCTATTCAAGTCCTTTGCCCATTTTATGATTGGGTTATTTGTCTTTTTGTTGTTAAGTTGTCGAAGTTCTATATATATTTGGTTATTAGATTCTTATCGGTTATATGGTTTCTGAAGATATTCTCCTAGTTAGTAGCTTGTCTTTTCACTTTTTAAAAAAGTCTTTTTATTTTATTTTATTGTGCTTTAGGTGAAAGTTTACAGCACAAATTAGTTTCTTGTTCAAAAATTTATGCACAGATTGTTTTCTAACACTGGTTGCAATCCCTGCAAAGTGTCAGCACTCTCCCCCTTTCCACCCTGGGTTCCCCAGGTCCATTTATCCAGTTTTGTTCTCCCTTCCTGCCTTCTTGTCTTTGCCTTTGGGCAGGTGTTGCCCATTTGGTTTCGTATACTTGATTGAACTAAGAAGCACATTCCTCACATGTGTTATTGTTTATTTTATAAGCCTGTCTAATCTTTGGATGAAAGGTGGACTTCGGGAGTGGCTTCACTTCTGAGTTAGCAGGGCATCTGGAAGCCATGGTCTCAGGGATTCCTCCAGTCTCTGTCAGACCAGTAAGTCTGGTCTGTTTTTGTGAATTTGAATTTTGTTCTACATTTTTTTCCTCCTCTGCCTGGAACCCTCTATTATGAGCCCTGTCAGAGTGATCAGTGGTGTTAGCCAGGCACCACCTAGTTCTTCTGGGCTCAGGCTGGTACACGCTGTGGTCCATGTGGTCCATTAGTCCTTTGGACTGATATTCTCCTTGTGTCTTTGGTTTTCTTCATTCTCTTTTGCTCCAGATGGGATGCGACCCATGGATGTATCTTAGATGGCTGCTCACAAGCTTTTAAGACCACAGACACTACTCACCAAAGTAGGATGTAGAAAATTTTCTTTATGAACTATGTTGTGCCAATTAACCTAGATGTCCCCTGAGACTATGGTCCCCCGCCCTCAGCTCCAGTAACTCAGTCCCTCGAGGTGTTTGGATGTGTCTAGGAGGCTTCTATGACTTTGCCTTGGTCAAATTGTGCTGACCTCCTCTATATTGTGTGTTGTCTTTCCTTCACCATAGCTAATACTTGTCTACTATCTAGTTAGTGATTTCCCCTCACCGCTCCTCTGTTCCTTTGTAACCTTCAAAGATTGTTTTTCCTGTGGGTAAACCTTTGTTTGGATTTTTATAATAGTTGTCTCATACAATATTTGTCCTTTTGTGATTGACTTATTTCACTCAGCATAATGCCCTCCGTATTCATCCATGTTGTGAGATGTTTCTTGGATTCATCATTGTTCTTTATTGTTGTGTAGTAGTCCATTGTGTGTGTGTACTATAATTTGTTTATCCATTCATCTGTTGATGGGCACTTAGGTTGTATCCATCTTTTTGCTATTGTGAATAATGCTGCAATGAACATGGATACGTGTATGTCTATTTTTGTGACGGCTCTAGGATATATTCTTAGGAGTGGGATTGCTGGATCGTATAGTATTTCTATTTCTAGCTTTTTAAGGAAGCGCTGTTTATCATTTTCCATACTTGGTTGTACCATTTTACATTTTACAGCAGTGCATAAGTGTTCCAATTTCCCTGAAACATTTCCAACACTTGTTATTTTCTGGGTTTTTTTTTTTTGATTAGTGCCAGTGTGTCGTGGTGAGATGGTATCTCTTTGTAGTTTCAATTTGCATTTCTCTAATGGCTAATGGTTGCCCACATTTCCTCATGTGTCTGTCAGCTGCCTGATAGATCTCCTCTTTTTATGAACTACTGTTCGTATACCCAGGTGACACAAATGTTTTGCGCTCGACTACTAAACTGAAGGTTGGTGGTTTGAACCTACCCAGTGGTGGTTGTTGTTAGCTGCCTTTGGGTCAATTCCACCTCATGGCAACCCACGCGTGCAGAGTAGAACTGCTCCATGTTTTCAAGGCTGTGACCTTTCCGAAGCAGATTTCAAGGCACCTCTGGGTGGGTTCAAATTGGCAGCCTTTCAACTAGTAGTCTAGTGCTTAACTATGTGTGCCATCTGGGTACTCTTCACACAGAAATAAGGCCTGGCAATCTGCTTCCATTAAGATTACAGCCAAGAAAACCCTGCGGAGCAGTTCTACTCTGTAACACACAGAGTCACCATGAGTTGGAATTGACTCAGTGGCAATGGTTTGTTTTTTTTTTTTGGCTTATTCATACACCACACTCGAGTGTTCAACAACTGTTAATACTACTCCAGAAGGGGATGTCTAGCTGGGCAGGGTCTAGCTGCAGCAGGTAAGAAATAGCTGGATGCTATGAAATATTGGCACTCCCAGCTGAAACCCTGCCCCAGTTATTATTCTATGAGCGTATTTATTCAAAATATGCACAAATTATACCTCCATGTCAATAGCTAGTTCCTCTCTGGCCCCCTCCTTTAAGAACACTCACTGTGTTATAGAGCTCTTCCAGCCTTGGGATGGTGAGGAAGTGCTGCATGTTCACTCCGTTTTCAATCAGAAGCTTCACGAAGTCCACACGGTCTAACACTAGAGCATCCAGCATCGCTTGCTCCAAAGCATTCACCTGCAGGAGCCCAGGAAACAGGGCCATGAGAGCCTCTCAGAAATACGAGGCAGGGGGAAGATTGGAAACACCATAGGAAGGGTATTCTGTCCCCCAGATCCTGGAGTATTCTGAGCGTGGTTCTCTTTGCTCTCGCCATCTCCCCTCCTCCTTCCTTCTCCATCTGGCCCCTATACATGCTATCAAGGTATCAAAGTTTGTAAATGATTTTCTCCTTTTTAAAACAAATAGAAGAATCCAAGGCACAGCAATTGGTCTCTAGTCACCTGGAGCAACAGAGGAAGAAAGAGAGTCGTGAATAGGAGGAGGAAATGAAATGCACAGCTAATTGCCTCTGAACAACTGCCTTCTTTGCCATGAAACCAGAAGAACTGGATGGTGTCTGGCTACCATTACTGAACATTTTGATTAAAGATTCCATAGAAGTATCCTAATCAAAACGGAAAAATGCAGAACAGAATTTCAAATTCTCATGGACTCTAGACTTTCTGGAGTCATGGAGGGTAGATGAACCCATGAAACTATTGGCCTGAGATAATCTTTAAACCTTAAACCAAAAATATCCCCTGAAGTCATCTAGCGAATAAAAGTTTAGCTTAACTAATAAATATGTCTGCCTTGAGCATTATGCTCTTTTAAGAACTATCTATATGAGATCACATTGACAACAGATTAGATAGGAACCTAGGGGGCAGTGAGTTTATGTTAATGAGGGAGGAACAACTCAGAAAAGAAGGGTAAGAATGGGTGCACAACTTGAAGAATGTAATCAATGTCACTGAATTGTACATGTAGAAACTGTTGAATTGGTGTATGTTTTGCTGTGTATATTCTCAACAACAACAAAATAAAAAAAAGTTTGAAGAAGAAAAAAAAATTGAAGAGGATTCAAAATTGCAGCCATAATGGCGTTGCTCACTTCAGTTTCCACAGTTTGCTTCCTTGTCTGAGAGGACCCCAGTGGCAGCCTAGCATGCCCCGTGTCCCCACGGCACTGTGTGTGGGGTGACCTCAATGTGCCTTCCACACATAGGTCACTGCAGAGCCCAGTGCCCTGTCTTTGCTGTCTTGGCAGCAGAGAGGCTGAGAACTGATGTGCGATGTGCTGGCTCTGGCCTCCGGCCCAGAAAACTGCTACTATCTCCACACACCCAGTCAGGGGCTCCATCTCTTAAAAAGGTCTTGTTCACTGAATTGTATTTATTAGGTAATATTGGTTTGTGTCCCATGTTTTCATAAATCAAACATGTGCATGTCCACCAGGCAGAGCAAGGTCAGCAGGATGTCCACTCTTGGTGGCATCCTTGCCCCAAAGGCAGGGACATTGACATTTCATCAACCTGACAGCCACACTGAAGGCAAATGTGCAGCTGCCATTAGCCGATCTGAAATATGGAGGCTGTCTCCTCAATCCCTTATCACTGCTATATTGGGACTCAGGGTTCCAGGTTGGGACTAAAGCAAAGGAAACAAGAACTGCCCCTCCCCCTGGAGAGAGAAGGTGACGCAAACTCAGTGATCCTTATGGTCCCAAGATTTCCCACATACCCAGTTCAGTAGCTCTATCTTCCGGGGGTCTGTTTCTTCCTCCACTTCCTCTTTCCCTTTCCCTTTCTTTTTGCCTTTTCCTTTTCCTCTGCCACCCTTGGTGGTTGTCGTGGGTGGCTTCTTCTCCTTCTCTGTGGCCTTGCTATCTGTTGCGGGTGCCAGGCTTCCCAGGGGCTGCAGTTGATAGCAAACAAAGTTTGGAAGAAATATTAAAGCTGTGCCTTGTCCAAAGACTAGCGTACTGACTCCTGCCCCCTTGCCACTACACACACACATGCAGATAGATACATATACACACACACTTGGTCATGGCAGGCCTGCCTTTTTGATGGAGAAAGCTCTGACATCATGAACCATTGCTACACTGTTACTTATATGCAAAAATATACACTTGGCTCAAGGACACAGCTTTGCATACTTTAAATGGCTGATAATGTGTGCTTGATTGATGTGCGTTTTTTGCACAAAGGAAAGGGTGATGAAAGGTAAGAACAAAAGCACCAAAGACAGATGTGTGTATAGATGTCTAATGATAAACAGGAGAAAGTGGTTGTGAAGGGCTCAAGACAATGGATATAACCCAGGTGCCTACACTCAGATACAAAACTGGCTGGAACTTACTGGTGGGTGTCTTAGTCATCTAGTGCTGCTATAACAGAAATAACACAAGCGGATGACTTTAACAAAGAGAAATTTATTCTCTCACAGTCTAGGAGGCTAGAAGTCTGAATTCAGGGTACCAGCTCCAGGGGAAGGCTTTCTCTCTCTGTCAGCTCTGGAGGAAGGTCCTTGTCATCAATCTTCCTCTGGTCCAAAGGACTTGCTATTCTCCTGGCTTTTGTTTCTTGATGGTATGAGGTCCCCATGTCTCTCTGCTCGCTTTTCTCTTTTATATCTCAAAAGAGATTGACTTAAGACACAACCTAATCTTAAAGATTGAGTCCTGTCTTATTAACGTAACTGCCTTTAATCCTGCCTCATTAATATTATAGAGGTAGGATTTACAACACATAGGAAAACCACATCAGATGACAAAATGGTGGACAATCATGCAATACTAGGAATCATGGCCTAGCCAAGTTGACACACATTTTGGAGGACACAATTCAATCCATAACACTGGGTAAAAGAGGTCTCCTGGGTATTGCTTTCCATAACAAAGTACAATCAACTGGGTGGTTTTAACATCAGAAGTTTATTCTCTCACAGCTATCAAGGCTAGAAGTCTGAAATCAAGGTGTCAGCAGGACTATGCTCCCTCTGAAGTTCTAGAGACGAATCCTTTCTTACTTATTCCAGATTCTGGTGATCGTCAGCAATCTTTGCTGCTCTTGGCTTGTAGATGCATCGCTCCACTCTCTACCTCTGTTGTTATATGGTGTTCTCTTTATGTATCTCTTTTCTTCTTACAAGGACACCAGTCATAGTGAATTAGCACTTGCCCTACTCCACCATGGCCTCATGTGATCTAATTACATTGCAAAGACTTCATTTCTAAACAAGGTCACATTCTGAGGTCCTGGAAGGACATAAATTTTCAGGGGACACTATTCAACCCAGTACACCTGGGTATTACTGAGTTATATGCAATGATGTTACAGATTTAAAAACACTGAAGGAAGGATGTGCTCTACTCAAGAGAATAGGAGAGAGAGCCCCTGTCCCCTCTGCCTCAACAAGTCCCTCAGTCAAGTGGAAGACATGGGGACATTGTCCTGGTACAGACACACAATAAGCTTAGAGGACCAATATTGAAACAACCTTTGACCCCTCCAGCTGGGTCTTTGTTGTCAGAGTTCCCCTTTCCTTCTGCCAGACTCCTCTGAGAGTTGTGCCCGTGGAGTCTTCATTCCCTCACTCCCCTTCTCTCTTCTACCACTCCAGTGGCTGCTTGCCCCTCTGTCCAAAGCCCTACTCATCTGTCCACAGCAGCCCTGGAGAGGCCACTGATAAGCTTCCAGGCACTGGCTGCCTCCACGGCATTTTCTGTCCTCCTCTTGCTGGATTTCCAGCAGTCGGACTGCTGCCTGCTCCCTGCTCCAGCTTCTTCTCTCAGCTTCTCCAGCATGACACACTCCTGGTTTTCCTCTTTCCTCTCTGTCTACTGCTTCTCAGATCAGGCTATCAATGTCAAGGCTCTCCAGGGTGCGGTTCTTGGCCCTCTTCCCCTCCCTCTTTACTCTCACCCTGGGCAATTTCATGGAGGCCCACACAGCCAGGAGGCCCACTCAGCTGGCCGCCATTTCTTTCTCGTGACGTCTCATTTATAGCTTCAGTTCATCTCTCTCCCCAGAGTTCCTGTAACTCTCCTCTGAATCACCTCTGGAGGGAGGAAATTCTCCCTCACAACCTCAAACACGAGTTGAACAATCACTTGCTGGGGATGTTACAGAAAGCATTTTAAACACTGGATGGATTACTGAGGATGCTTGATAACCTCTCATATCCATACAAAGAATCTTCAGACCTGGGTTTGCATCCTGAGTTCAGATGCTTGCTTTTATGCTGCACTAGTTTTCTATTACTGCATAACAAGTTGTCCAAAATTTAGTAGCTTAAAACAACACACAGTTATTATCTCACAGTTCCTGTGGGTTAGAAGTCAGGCACAGTTTAGCTGGGTTTTGGCTGCAGGGTCTCACCAGGATGTAATCAACATGTGGTTGGGCTGTGTTCTCATCTGGAGGTTTGACAGGGGAAGAATCTGCTTCTAAGCTCACTCAGTTGTTGGCAGGATTTATTTCCTTGCAGTCCCAGGATTCATGGTAACTTATTTTTTCAAAGCCAGAAACAGAAAGAGAGTCTCTAGAGTGAGTTTGCTAGCAAGACATAGTCTTATATAATGTAGTATAATCACAGGTGTGACATCCATCTTTGATATATTCTATTGATCACAGGTCTCACCCACACTCAAGGGGGAGGGTGTGAACACCAGGAGGGATCACTTTAAAACCTGTCTGCCACAGCCACATTAGCTGAGTGAACTTGTCAGAAATCACTTAACCTCTTGGACTGTTAATTTTTTTTTCGAACTATCAAATGACAATCAATCCAATAATGTTCATGTATTTGAGCACATGTAGTAAAGCACAATGTACCACACAAACATCAGGCATTACTACCAATTTCCACTTTAGATTTTATGATTGAAGTTCAGTTTTACCAAAGTAGGCCCTACATTTAGAGATGGAAGCCAAATAAATAGTTTTGTTCAGAAAAGTCAGCAGACATTTCTTTCTACTTCTAAAATCTCAGGGAAGCTGGCCAAGATTTGCAGAATTTATGTTTGAGGTAGCCAGTGGTCTGAATGTCATCAGGCCTCACTCCTGGATGCACAGACTGAGTTTAGCCTATTTTTCATCAAAAAAAAGTTAGTCCAAGGTCTTATGATTCAAGATAGCTAAATATTTAAATACATTACTCAGATATATCAAATACTATTCTCTTTTTGCTGTTATGTTTTTAACATGTTCTAACAAAGGGTTTTGTTGGGGCAGTTTTTATTTTTGCATTTAATAATAATATATACAGATAAAGAATTTTGACAGTAAAATATAACATATATGGACAACATGTACAAAGTTTCATGTTGTCTGAAAATTCTACCACAAGCTTACTGTTATAGTAAGCCTTCTAGAAAGACTATAAATTCACAGGTACATAGTTTCTTAAGAACTTTACCATTAAAGGAAGATTTGGAGAGCAGATACTCTATCACAAGGAGACAGAGAAGGACTTTCAGTTCCAGGTTACAGTTCGAGCATGTTTCCTGCCTTTCCTCCCTTCCCAAGTACCACTGAAATGACAGCAGGGGCAATGAAAGGGAAAAGTCCATTTCAGGGAGAAGAGGCAGACCAGAGTTATTAGCAATACTGGAAATCCTGATGGGAGCAGGCTGGCAGTTAAAGCCTTGGAGAGGAAGCTAAAACCCAGAATATGTAGTGTGGAGGTTGCTGTAGAGATGGGGCAGCAGGTGGAGGACGTAAAGCATGGTGATTAATGGAAGGACGGTCTACAGAACAGTAGACCACACATTCCTTCCCACATCCCATGCCACCACTCTGTGGGAGCAGAGCAGCTGCATTCCAGGGCTTCACCCCCAGGCAGAAGCTGCAAGAATGTCTGCTGGAGGATTGGAAGGGCCTGCATAGGGAGGCCCAGAGACTCTCCAGCCTGCGCATGGCAAAGCAAAGCTATTCAGTCGACACTCCCCATTCCTAAGTAGGAATTCCTCATCAGTCCTCCAGGCAGGAGAAAATTCTGTTGGCAAAATAAGCCTTCCATAGTAAATATGCAGTCTCTCCCCTCATTCTTAAACGTGGATGGAAAACCAAGAACCTGCAGCACTGAAGGGAACTCCACAGCACAACAGAAAAGGACAAAGAAAACAATGGGAACAGCTGACTAGGGAGAAAATAGAGATCATGCAGGGAATGGAAGAGAACTTTAAAAAGTTCAATCCATATCCTCAGGTATTGCATCTACGAAATCAACACAGGCTAATATGAAAATAGAACAATTGGGAAACAAGAAAGCTTTCTTAGATATTTAAAATATGATTGCCTGATTTAAAAAAATTCGTATAAAAGTTAAAGAAAAAGTTAAGAGATTTAAAAATATATACAGCAAACTGGCAAAGAGGTGGAAATGAGACAATGGAGGGTCAATCCAGGGGGTCCACTATTTGTTTGACCAATACAAATTCCAGACGAAGACGGAGAAAATGGAGGAAGAGATACCTGAAGAAGTGATAGAAGAAAATTTCATAGAACTGAGGAGAGACTCAGGTCTTCAGCATAAAAGGGCCCTTTGACAGCCACGTAGGGTGAATAGATACATGAGTGGCCATATGACTGCTTGATTTTGTATTCGCTATATACTTCTATTTTTGTTTGTTTGAAATAGAAGACCAGTCTTTGTGAAATTTCAAAGCACCGAAGATAAAGAGCAGATCTTAAAAGATATCTGAGAGAAAATAATGGTTCATCTATAATTGAACGAGAATCATATGACAGTCAGCCTAGTGTGGTGGCAGACTTTTTTCAGACATGTAAAGACACAGAATGGTTATCTTCCCACACACTTTCATGAAAAAAATTACTTGAAGATATACTCTAGCAAAATGGAAAATAAATCTGAGAGAGAGGATGACATGGGGTCCAAGAAGCAACGGACCTATCTCAGAGACAGTGAAGGGTTGTCCAGAACTGAGAGCTGTGCAGCTGGCTCTGAGAGCATTCAGGGTAGACGAGGACAGGATATCACAGGGCTTTGAAAGATCCTTCAAAAAGAAAGGGGATTCCGCTTAATGGATAGTAGTGATTAAGATAATAGGTACTCTGTGTGGCTAATCGCCTCCATGAACAAACTGCCTCTTTTACCATCAGACCAGAAGAACTGTATGGTGTCCAGCTACCACGACTGAATATTTTGATCAAAGATTCTATAGAAGAATCCTGAACAAAACGCAGAGCAGAATTTCCAGTCCTCAAAGAATTCAGACTTTCTGGAGCCATGGGAGCTGGATGAACCCCTGAAACTACTACCCAAGATAACCTTTAAGTCTTAAATCAAAAATATCTCCTGAAGTCTTCTTAAAACCAAACAATAATTTAGCTTAACTAGTAAAGAATGTCTGTCTTGAGCATTATGCTTTTTTAAGCTCTATCTGTATGGAATCAACTTGACAACAGCAACTTGAAAGATTAGATAGGAACCTTAGGAGGTAGTGAGTTTATGTTAATGGAGTAACAACAGCTCAGAAAAGGAGGGTGAGAATGGTTGCACAACTTGAAGAATATAATCAATGTCACTGAATTGTACATGTAGAAACTTGAATTGTAGGAGTGTTTTTGCTGTGTATATTCTTGACAATAGCAACAATGGAAGAAAATAAATTATTTTTTAAAAGAGAGAGAGAATAGATAGTCCTAATGATGTGAAGGCATAAACTAGGGAGAAAAGAAAATCAGTTAGAAATGCAAGGAAAAGAAAACATTATCTATTTAAAGAAGCCATGGTCTGAATATGAAGCAAACTAAAATGTCACATAATTTTAAACAACGAATGAACTGTAGAAAAAGAGACTCTACCTGACCTTGATGCTTGTCGCATTTTCCTTCGTGTGACAGGTTAGTGACCTAGGATTACCTTTCCTTCTTGTTGGGTTAATCACACTGTTGGGCTCAGCAGTGAGCAATCTTCACATAACCACGGCAATGTAAAATCTGCTGGCTTTTCCAAATGTGAGTGAGAACTAATGATGGTTAAACAATGAGATGTGAAGAGAACCTTAAGAATGACTAAAGAGTGATGGTATGTAAAGTTAACCATCTCAGCCACGTAAAAGTAAAAGTGAATCTGATTGGATTAGCAAAGTTGAAGATGTAAGGGAAAGACGGAAGTGTAGAGCTGATAATTTTACCAGATAGGAGTCTAAAGTCGATGAAACAAATAGATGGTTAAGTCAGTCTTCACAGTTATAAAGGTAATCAATAAAAGAATTAAACACACAACTATCAAATAAGGGAGAGGCAAAGAGAAGATGGCAGTGCAAGTGAGCTGCTTCCTGCTGTTTCCAAGGCCTGGCAATCTACTTCCAAAACTCAGCCAATGAAAACCCTACGGATCGCAATGGTCCAATCCACAACCAATCATGGAGAAGGCACAGGAACGGGCAGCGTTTCTATCCATTGTGCATGAGGTCGCCTTGAGTTGGGGACAGCTAACAACACTATTCTTTCTATTCTTTTTCATTTGTGTAATTCAATAAATAACACACAGAAAATCTCCTCCCCCCATATCTTATTGCTTTAATATGCTCATCCTATTCTGTAAACTCATTGCACTAATTTGATAAAAAGCAATTGTTGTAAAAAGTGAAACGTGTTTGTGCAGCAATCTGGCAGACATGTTTTAAGAAATATGTTTTTTAACCCTGACATGAACTGTCTGGATACCTCCACCCCCTTTTTAAGCAGCAGAGTTCTTTTCGTAAACAAAAATTCACTCTGAACTCCAGTGTACAAAATAGATCAAAGAAGCTGCTTTGATTGAAGGAGGAGTAGGAGGCTTAGAACCACTCACCACACAGGCACACCACACCACTGCTTATCACACACATACCCCCAGCACACACACCTCATCACACATGCACACACACCACACCACTGCTCATTACACACACACACCTCATCACACATGCACACACACCGCACCACTGCTCATCCCACACACACACCTCATCACACATGCACACACACTGCACCACTGCTCATCACACACACACCTCATCATACATGCACACACACCGCACCACTGCTCATCACACACACACCCCTCATCACACATGCACACACACCGCACCACTGCTCATCACACACACACACCTCATCACACATGCACACACACCGCACCACTGCTCATTACACACACACCTCATCACACACACCTCATCACACACACATATCACACCACACCACTGCTCATTACACACACACCACCAACACACACACCTCATCACACATGCACACATACCACACCACTGCTCATTACACACACACACCTCATCACACACACCTCATCACACACACATGTCACACCACATCACTGCTCATTACACACACATCGCCAACACACACACCTTATCACACATCACAAACACATGCACACACACAGTACTCAACATGACACATAAATACATACACACCATACACAAAAACACACATCACACCACCCCTCACTCACAGATTATCACAGATCGCATACGTACTCACTACGCGTACACACGCTATTCAACAACACATACATACATACACACAAACACACCCACACCACACACATTGCTCAACATCACACATACACATGCACATACACACCACAACACACACACCCATGACACATACACACGCCAGTTTTCATGCATCACAAACACATTCACAACACATACACACACAGCCCACATACCCCACTCAACATAACATACAAATACACACAGATCACACACAAACTCACACCACACACATCACTTATCAAAGATCACGTATTCACACACCACACATACACACACACCTCACGTACACACCACTGCTCATCACATACACACCACACCACACACACTGCTTATTCTAGATAATATAGACACACCACACACACACACACTGCTCAACACAGCACAAACATACACACATCACATGCACAAACATACACCACACACACCGCTTAACACCTCACACACACACGAACACATTTCACACACACACACACTACACCGCACACACTGTTCATCATACATAACCATACCACACACAGACACACCACACATCACACACATAGCACAATCACCACACATGATACCCCTTCCCTCCCACCTACCCCCAGCTCTCTTGGCCTCTAGGGTTTCAGGGAACATCATTTGAAAAAACCAGTGCTCCAGATGGAAGCATTGTATGTAATTGCAATGCACTATTTACTTCCTTCTTTTTCTTTAAAAGGATAAAAACCCACTTTCACCAGCAATGAGAAAATATTTAGTGGTTAATTTCCTCAAGAATACTGGTTTGAGTCTGTAATTTGTGCCAATAGCTCTTACTTCTTGCTGGTTCCTTGAAGTTAAATAGCAACATCTTCTAATAATCCTAAAGGATTACACATTGGATCATCAGAAATCCTAGGTAATTTCACGAGATTCATGGCACAAGAACGAACATACTAATACAGCATCTGTGCAAAGTTACAATATTAAAAACCAAACCCAACCCACTGCGATCGAGTCGATTCTGACTCATAGGACAGAGTAGAACCGCCCCATATGGGTTCCAAGGCTGTAATCTTTATGGAAGCAGACTACCACATCTTTCTCCCGCGAAGGGGCTGGTAGATTCAAACCTCTGACCTTTTGGTTAACAGCCAAGTGTTTTAACCACTGTGCCACCTTAGGAAGGGGCACCTGGATTTGAACCAGGGACCTCTTGATCTGCAGTCAAATGCTCTACCATTAAGCTACACCCCCAGGGCCAAAGTTACAATAGGTGTTATGAATGGAAAACAAAACAAAACAAAACAAAACTCAGTTTCACCGGCCAGTGGGGCCCAAAGACGAAGATCTGGCTTCGTGCTATGTCCACGCGGTTCCAAGCCAGGGCCAAACTCAGCTGGTCTGGAGCCGATGCATTTGTTCCTGGAAAGGGGAAAAGCAAGAGCAAGTGTTAACTCTGTGCCTGGACTGCCGGGCTCAGCAGACGCTGGGCAGTGAGCATGGGCTTCCCTGGGCTGCCTTGGCGCTGGCTGGAACCCCAGCAGATGAGGCACCACTGCTTTTCTCTTGCTCCTGGATTGCTTCTAAGGCCCCAAAGCTAAGACCTCCCTATTCTCAAAGACCTTCCCAGGAGGGAAGTGGAGGCAACCTATTCCCACCCCAGCTCTGTGAGTCTCCTTGGGCGGGTCCTCATCTAAAAAGGGTGCTGCTCTCCAGGCCAAAGCAGAGCCCTGCCCAAGGGCACCAGCCACATGGCCCCCATGGAGATACACAGCACTGTCAGCCTGAGGGGGATGGAGGTCCATCTCCCCCTCTCTTGCCTCTCACAGCCCCAGTCTTGCTTGAGGCGAGGAGGATGTATGCATTCTGGAGCAGACCCCACCCCCATGAGTGCCGAGTGGCAGCGTGTCAATAGAGGCTGGGACGGGGACTTGGACAGAGCCAACGATGCTCTGACTGCAACTGATGCAAACATTGCACAGATGCAGTGACTGTAAATGAAGAACCTCTTCGTGTTTACAGTCTATGAGCTGAAAACCTCCATGAATCAGCTACAAATGGAAATGGGTTCTGACCTCATGGTTAGCCATCGTGGTTCAGCCATCGTGGTTGACTGGCACACACAGAAAATCCCCCCTCCAAGAAGCCCATCTCCAGGACCCTGCCATTCTGCCATGGTTTCATACTGAGATAGCTCCAGACTGCCTGCTGGCTTTCCAGTTGGAAAGGAAAGAGGAGACATTCCTGGTCACAAGTGAAACCCCAGGCCAGGCCAGTGTTGGAAGGACAGACTCACGGTGTCCTGAGAGCTTACCTTTCAGCAGGGCTGTCAAAATGGCCATCTCGATGTCTTGCTGGCCCTCGGAACCCATCCGAAACACGGTGACCTGAGAACAGGTTAAATGTGAGAGGACCAAGTTAGAGGCAAGCTGGAAACAAAAGAGAGAGTTGGATTGCTTTTAAAAGAACTTCCACAGAGAGACTTAATGAGTAATCAAATGATCCTGGGAGCTGACCAGTGTTAAACCAAATGTTTTCCATTTCCTGGAGTTACAGTGCTACTCTTCTTGACTTTGAGTCCTTCTCTGGGTTCTTGTTTCATGTTTACCCATTCAGAATCTACACGCCAACATCTGAATTGTCATTGGAGATGACAGAAACATCTCTACTCGGATATGAGATATTTTAGGAACTTTGAAGAGGCCATCTTATGTGTGCAACTAAAATGGCCTGACTTCTAAACACAACTGAGGAGGGACGGAGTGGGAAGCAAGTATTGCATTTGGAAAGTGAAATGACAGACCTTGGTAACCACACCTGAAAGTGTCATAGATGTCATTCTTCCCCAGTTCTTGAAATCTAATTGACATTGTGAACCTCAGAGTTGGGTCCGTGTCACCGAACGTTTACCTAGGTCTGAGGGCACCTTGGTCCCTCCCTGCACGTGCCTATTCTGTTCTTATCACATGGAAATTACCCGGCAGTCATCGTCAGTTTGGCATGGATTTGTCAACTGCTTCTTGGAAAACATGGAGCTCAAATATGAACAACTCCATCAGGCACACATGGGTGAAATTAGAAAGGAAACATAATTCTCTCTGTGGAGTGTGTTTGGAAATAAATTCAAGACACTTACGAGCTCTTTCTTTTTCATGCACTCCATTATAATTGCAAACAGCTGATGCGACTGTGTCTTGCTGTAATTAAATGTTTTCTGAATGGTAACTAGAAGCTGATCCCTGAGGGATTCATTTATTATCCTGTTCAAAGCAAATGCAAAAGGGAACAAAACAATATGCATTAAATCTCTCCGTTAATAAATTCAACATCTATACGTCCATCTGGCTTCTTTGATTTGAATCTTCACTATTGGAGACTATCCCAGGATAAGAGACAAAAATGACCCTAGTCAAAACTATGTTCATGCTTGTCCTAAATTCCAGCCTTGCTGAAAACCTTATAAGGGAAGATGAAGTTGGAAGAGACTGTATTCCACCAGAGAAAGAATTTCATACGAAACAGCATGCCCCCCACAAACTGAGCTGGGCAATGGGAGAGAAGATCTAATAAATCTTCTTATGCAAACATTTTTGGAATGTCTAAGCCTATCACTTAAGATTTTCTTCTTGGTGCAACCAGGAGGCCGTCAAAAACCCACCCTTGGTAAGATGTCAGAACTCCTACCCTCCTTCTTCACAGTACTTGTGCGCAAAAGACAGAATGTCCGAGGCACGTCCACTGCCGTCGCAAACCACCACGGGGACCGGAGGGTCTTCTCGGAGATATTCCAGGACAATGGAAACCACGTTAGGGCCCCCTTCAACCACGAGGCCCACGACGGGCACACCCTGCCCCAGTCCTGCAACACAAACCACATTCTCCTTTGGGACCAGGGTCTCAGCACCACCCCTCTCCTGTTCTCATTTCTGAAATAGGGTGAAGAGCAAAGACGTTACGACCTGATTGATGTTCCATATGGTGCTAGCGTTTAAAGGGAGGCTTGAAGGAATTCAGGCATATGTTGATTGTTTTCATTCTCTTATTTCAACCCGGTGTTACGTCCTCATTGGAAAGAACAGAATCTTAAAATCCAGAACTCTCTGAATCATATGTGGTCAAACTCTATGTATCGCTCACCTGACATAAAGGGTACTTTGAGGTGAGATGTGAGAAACATGAAAAGATGCTCCTTGCTGAAAAAATACCTCCCTCAAAGCCCAGTCCCAGTGTCTGAAATTCCCCCCTTGATGGCTGTGCCCTAAAGGGCGATGTAGTGAAAGGGGTTCTGGACCAGTGAGAGGAGCTCGATTCAATTCCCGTCCTCTCATGTGTAAGCCTTATGACACTGGGAGAATCACCAAGCTGCCATGAGCCTTAGATGACCACCTGTGGAAAGTGAATAATCACAATGCTTCCCTTTCTCCTAAAGGAGCAACAGAGATAAAATATATTTGGTTATCAAAGTATTTGGTAAACTTGAAGTAGCATATTGTTGTTATTAGCTCCATTGAGTTAGCTTGAACTCATGGCAACCCTGTGCACAACAGAATGAAATGCTACCCAGTTCTGCGCCATCCCCATGACTGGTTGTAGACTGGACCATTGTGATCCATAGAGTTTTCACTGGCTGATTTTTAGAAGTAGATCTCCAGGCCTTTCTTCCTAGTCTGTCACAGTCTGGAAGCTCCACTGAAACCCGTTCAGCATCATAACAACACACAAGCCTCAACTGATAGACAGGTGGTGGCTACCCATGAGGTGTATTGGCCAGGAATCGAACCTGGGTCTCCTCCCTTCCCCCCACATGGAAGGTGAGAATTCTGCTGAATCACCACTGTCCTTAATTGGCATATAGATATGGTGTATTATTGTTGTTGTTGATACTCCTGACTCCACTGACTGAAATAAGGCAGTGTGTTATCTGAGAGGTCAAACACACGGGCCACCATTAGTTCATCAGTTAATAACTTGTTCCCAGAGTCTGCCCTCTGTCTGTATCAGATGATAGGACGCTTTAGGAACACAATAGGAGCAGGCTAACTTTTGATGGCAGAACCAGCAGGATGGATTCTGGGAAGCAGGAGGCAGCATGGGGATTCAAGAGCCTGGGATTATGGAAAGGGAAGACAGAAGTCTTGAGAGTAGAAGAGAAGCAAAGGCATATTTGCCTACTTCACAATTTAACCCAACTGGCCACAGCAGGTCATAATCTAAGCATGTTTCACCAGGTGTCCGTTAGTTCCGGATGGGTCCAATGTTAACATATGGCAGGTAGGAGAAGTGTCCTTGGTCTCAGGGCTGAAGAAGGCCTTCAGAAAAAATCTGCTAGCGTAAGTTATGAGAAGATTTGAGAATTTCAAGTGGATGAATTCAGAGTTTCCAGTTTACTTCCATGATATATTTCTGGAGCCAGAGACTCTCAAACGTTTTGAAAGACTTGGCTCTCTCCTACCAGATAACTTCAGCTCAGTTCATTCAGCAAACATGTATTGAGGGTCTGCTTTGTGGCAAGCCTTGATCAGCAGGCATTGGAGAAACAGGGACAAGATGACATGGACGTGCCTTGGAGTCTTCCAACCCACTCCAGGCTTGGTATTTAGATCTTCAGGAATATGGTGGCCAAACTGCCTTCTTTTCTAGAAAGAGTAGAATTGGTTCTTCTTGGTTCAAGTGGACTCCCCGAAGCTCTGTGCTGTGGGAGGTGACAACTGAGCACCCCTTTGCTGTCCCTGCCCCACTCAGAGCCCTAGGCAAAGGATGACAAAGGGAAGCCCACAGGTCACATGGCCAGGTGAAGTTGGGCAGTGTGAAAACTCACGAGTCCAGAAAAATTAAAAACATGAGAACAAAAAATTCTGTCATCAGCCAATTTACCAATCAAGATCTGATTCTTGGAAATTCGTAACTGTTTGTAGTAGGCCATCCCCGTTCTAACCACTTGTGCAGGATCACAGTCACTTTAATTACGCTTTTTTTTTCTGCTGTTAGCTGCCATCGAGTCAGTCCCAACTCATGGAGACCCCATGCACAATGGAACAAAACGCTGCCCAGTCCTGCGCCATCTCCATAATCAGTTGTGGATCAGACCATGTGATCCACAGAGTTTTCACTGGCTAATTTTAGGAAGTAGATCATCTGGCCTTCCTTCCTAGTCCGTCTTAGCCTGGATGCTCTGCTGAAACTTGTTCAGCCTCATAGCAAACGAAAGCCTCCACCGACAGATGGGCAGTAGTTGCGCATGAGGTGCATTGGCCAGGAATTGGACTCGGGTCTCCTGCATGGAAAGCGAGAATTCTACCACTGAACTACCAATGCCCCATAAGTATGCTTTATAATGACCAGTTTTTCAGGCCTAGATTATCCTTCACAAGATCTTACCAGTAATGGTAAAAACAAAATATTCTCTAAGATCATTTAACAATTGTTGGACAAAAATAATTGTTAAAGTATGAGTATGTTCCAAGAGATTAAGCCAGTTATTTTAATTCTACTAGTGGTTATTATTGTTCCATCTGGTTGATGTTCATTTCTTTCTCTCCAGTTTGGCTCAGCATTTCCCTATGGCAGTTCCCCCCAGAGCTGTGCCACCCGGACCAGGGCTCCTGTCTCCCTCCTCAGAGGTTTCCCATCGGGCCTATCTTAGACTGGGTGACAGACTCAGAGCTACAGAGATATTTAATGATCACATAATATCCATCAGCTGATCGAAGGAATCATACTAAGTCTAGGAGGGTGAATTTTTTTCCTGTTAAAACATTTAAAAAATACCTACACTAATTACAGGGAACAAGAAATATTGGTCAACCTGGTGGGCCATCCCACGACAATCATTGAAGGGTTGTTTCTTGTGTCAGCCCTCCTTTTAAACTTGAGGAGTCAAAACTTAGCTCAACAGATGCGAATCAGTAGGTAGTTAAGGTCTAGGTAAGCCATTGTCTGTGATCTAGGGAGAATCAAGATTAAAGCTTTAAACACCCAGAGGGATAGGCAAGGAGCAAGCCTGTGGGCAGTTTCCTTCTCCGGGGTTTTCAAGGCGGTGGTGCTGGTCTAATGGTAGTGCCCGTAAGAACTTACTTGTGTTGATCTTCTGCAGGGAGATGTGCTTTTCCAGCTGCCTGCGCAGCTTCACCTCGGCGCCATACTTGCCCAGAGTGCCATTGTCGGCCAAGATGAAATGAGTGTGTGAGCTGTTGAGCACAGAGAGCTTGCTCAGAGGGTTGGACATGGTCTGGTACACTCTGGTGACCTGATAAACATGAACCACACAAATTAGAGCTGCAGAACTTAGAATAGGACTAACAGGGGAAGCCAGTAGAATAGGTATGTTCATGAGGATTGCTTCATCTAATTGAGCACTTCAATCTATTCTCATGCTCCTACCCTACCTAGTGAGGGTGGTTTTCTAATTGTTATGGTAAAATGGAAAAAAAATCAAATTATTTTTATTAATAACAACCTTGCATTTTAGATAATGATGACCCAATGATTGCACTTCTGGGCATTTATCCCAGAGAAATAAAAAACTTACGTTCATACAAAAACCTATACACGAATGTTTATGGCAGCTTTATTTGTAATAGCTCCAAGCTGGAAACAACCTAAATGTCTTCAACAGATGAGTGGTTAAACAAAGTGTAGTACCTCCATACCGTAGAAGACTACTTAGCATTAAGAAGGAACAAACTATTGATGCACACAGCAACATGGATGACTCTTCCGAGAGTTATGTGGAATGAAAAAAGCCAATCCCAAAAGGTTATACTATGCTTTTGTTGTTAGTTGTCATCTAGTCTGCCAACATTCAGGGCCCGACTGCTAGCCCAAAGGTTAGCAGTTCAAAGCCACCCAGAGGTACCTCGGAAGACAGACCTGGCGATCTGCTTCTGAAAAATCACAGCCTTGAAAACCCAGTGAAGCAGTTGTACTCTGCACATATGGATCGCTATGAGTTATATACTAAATGATTCCATTTATGTAACATTCTTGAAAGGACAAAATTATAGAAATAGAGAACAGATTAGTAGTTGCTAGAGATTATAGAGGGGGTAGGAGGGAAGTGGGTGTGGCTATAAACGGACAATTTGGGGTGATGGAAATGTTCTGTATCTTGACTGTATCAACGTCAATGTCCCGGTGGTGACAGTGCGCTGTGGTTTTGCAAGACGTTGCCACTGGGAGAAACTGGGTAAGAAGTGCATGGAATCTCTCTGTATTATTTCTTACACCTGCATGTGGATCTACAATTACCTCAAAATAAACAGTTTAATTTAAAAAAATTGCCAATGTCTGGAGAGAAGACACTTACATCCCTTCTGACCAAGTCTTCCTTATTCTCCACGATGCCCCATGGAGCAATCCCTATAGCACAGACTCGGCCTCGGGACTTGGAGGAGTGGTCTTTCAAGGCATCCCCGACATGGCTGATGACACCTGTGAGTGGCCATAAGTCATATTTTTAGACCCTTCTATTACCCATCATACCACCGTTCACGAACTTTAGGGACACCTTCTCTTAGCCCCAACACTCTCTATGCAACAGGGCAGAGACCTAATGATCTTCACCGGTTAAAGAAAGCACACTGAAAGTCTGACCTCATGCTAAGCAGTGCTCCTACACTGGCTTCTAGAAAAGGAAAAATCACAACATAACTCGAAACAATTCTGCAGAGATTTCCTCTACATGTTTCCAAGAGCAAAAGGCAGAAGTAATTGAGGTCCCTTTGGCCTTCTTTAACTGCATTTAGCTAAAATTGACAGCCATACTGCCTGGCATTTTACTTAACCTCTCTGTGCCTCAGTTTCCTCTCTCATAAAATGGGGAAAGATTTGTCAAGAGGCTCAGTAAAGAAAATGCTTGTTCAGGGCTCATTTCAGAGAGTGGCACCGGGTGGATGTTCCAGAAACATTGACCATTATCATTATTATACTTGCTGCTTAAAAATAGGAACCATACCAGAATAAAAAAACACTCTACTGCATAAAGATTTCACTTGTGTCACAAACATTATCAAATGCAATGGCTTTGGTGTTTGATCTTAATTATCAGGAAGCTCTTTGGGACCCATAATGAGCTCTCTGTATGTATATTTACATAAAGGGAAAGACTGTTCTCACCAGTGCTGACTCCCCCAGTGAAAATCCAGGCCCCAGTGGTCATGGCCGCCTTGATTAGGCCTTTCCCAAAGACCTGCTTCAGCTTGGGCTGCATCTCAAAGTTCTGGAGGCCTCCATGCACAGATATTAGGAGCTTGGGGAGTTCCAGCTGCCAGTCTTTCACCATGAGATGAAGCAGCGAATCTGGTTTGGTGTCATAGGATACGCGGATATACTGCAAAATAGTGTGTGATGTTAAGCACTTGTTCTGAGTTTTGTTTCTCTTGTCAAAACGGAAAGTGCTATCACTCATGTCCTAGCAAGAACTGTGTGGATAAGTGAATGAAGAGAACCTTAGGGTTGCCTGATTCAGCAAAATAAAAACGCAGGACCCCCAGTTACATTTGACTTTCACAAAAAGTTTTAGTGTAAGTATGCCCCGTGCAATATTTGGGACATAAGTATCTCACTCTTGGCTTTGCAATGAAATATCTAGAAAGATTTCACCACATCTCTGACAGAAGACCCAGGTACCTGTGGCCTTACGCTAAAAGATTATCTGTTGTTTATCTGAAATTCAAATGTAACTGAGTGTCCTGTATTTTACGTGGCAACCCTAAAGTTGGGAGAGTCGATTCTAAAGCTGGCTCAGTTAAAGCCATGTCCCAGGGGACTGGACAAAGATATTTTTGGGTCAGTGGCTCACTGGCCAAATTGAGTGGTTACTGGGAACAGGGATCATGGACCAGCCTCCGGACTTGACCTTCAACTTAAGGGGATGAAGAGGTTAATGGTCAGATGACTTGGCCCCTGTGAATTGATTCTTTGTGTCCATGCCAATATGTAGGGTGTTATTCCAGAAGAATGGAGCCCTGGTGGTGCAGTGGCTAAGAGCTAGGCTGCTAACCAAAAGGTCAGCAGTTCGAATCCAGCAGCTGCTCCTTGGAAACCCTATGGGGCAGTTCTACTCTGTCATGTAGGATCACTAGGAGTCAGAATTGACTCAGCCATAACAGGTTTGGTTTTGGGTTTATTCCGGAAGATCATATGTTGTAGTATTTAAGCAAAATTGGATTTTACCCTCCAGAGACTCCCCACATTTAAGGAGGTTTGCAGGTCCACACATTATCAAAAATACCCCAGAATTTCTCTCTCATCACTGGAGTTGGCACATGGTGGCAGGGTTGGGTTAGAGTGTGGTTTGTGGATTCAGAGCTTTGGTATGGATTTAAAGGACATGATATGTTCTTTACAGTGGTGTCCAGTTTCCAAACCTCACGGGTAAGAAGTCATGTGTGCAGATGTATCTCTTGGCTTTGCAAAGAAATATCTGGAAAGATTTAACCATGCCCCTGAAAGAAGACCCAGGTACCCGAGGTCTGGGGATGTGGGAGGCTGGCCTCTGATGAAGCTGTGGGCTCAGTGATGTCCCACTTCCTAAGGGCCTCTTACCATGGCTTTATTGGAGTACCCGCCGCCCTGGAATTCAAGAGTCCCATATGAGTCGGTTGGGTAGCTCTGGGTGTGTTTGGTGACAGACCATTTTTCGGGCTGAGTCTCCACCTGTTTATTTTCGTCTCCATTTTTGCTGGGGGTTAAACTTGGCAGAGGAGGAATATGCTGGTTGGTGAGCTGGCCACAGCAACACCTGAAAACAAAGGCAAACCACGGTCTTTCTATAACATTCCCCCCGCATTAGCTGAGTTAACCTGAACAGGTGAGTTGCACCTGAACAGGGGCATACTAACCCCTGGGAACAGAAATGCCAGATAATCAGTGCATATCTATTTACATACCAGTCTATTTTAAACACATTGGGTGATTGTCCTTCCGTACTAAACATATCTTCATTCTTTTTACGTCTTCACAACATCAACATGGGCATTAATTACTGAACATACTGTGAAAAGTACAATCATTCCCTCAGAACATTTGAGTTGATCTTCCATTAAATAGTCAAGACTTTCCGATATTTTCTAATTCTTCTTTTGCTTTGTAAAGCATTTCTCTACACAGTAATATTGAAAGTATATTTCAAAAAGTACCAATTGTCTGCTTTTCTCCCATTGGGTCATCATCTACCCCAGCTTGGGGGATCTTGTTCTACAGCGTCTCCCCATGACTTAGCCAGCCTCTTGAGCTCTGGCTGTGGGTTCTCTTTCTAGTCTTCTCTGAGCGTATTCTTTGGCCTTGTGTCAATTTCCTTTCCTAGCAAGCCCAGGTTTTGGTTGTCACTCAGTCATTTAGGCTGCCCTATATCTGAGTGGACTGGACCCACCTACAGCCTGAGATGTCTGTTGGGAGGAACAGTTGTAGCCTGGAGTGGTAAGTTTTGACAGCTGGAATCCAGGGGTAAGCGCCATCAGGGGAGGGCTGGAGCCCGCTTCTGGACCTGAGGGGCCCTCATGGGCAGTCATACTCACCAGTGAGTGGGTCCAGAGAGCCTGGATGGAGGTGGTGAGATGGGGAGTGGAGCACTGGGGATGGAGCCTGCTTGGGAACTAGAGCTGTGTCTTTCCTGGCTCGATGGGTGGTGCGTATGTGTGTATGTCTGTGTGTGTGTGGTGGTGCTTGCCACCCATGGCTCCCTGGGGCTAGCCTGCAACTCTCTGCCTTCATTTCTAGGCTATTTTCTTGGTGGCACGGGTTTTCTGGCCCTGGCTAGAGAACGCGTGAAGCTGGCAGTGGGGTGTGAGCCCCTGATGCCCTTGCTGCTCCCTCTGTTACCCGGCCTCTTGGCTCTGTGTGGGGGGGGGGCGGACTGTGGCTCTGGCAGGGGAAAGAGGAGCGGCATAGACAGGTTCTGGATACCTCTGAAATACGGAGGGGCATTTGGGTGTAACAGAAGGGGAGACTTGGTTACCACCAGCGTTGTCCCATAGGGCACATCTCACCTTGAGGGTAATCACGGGCCTCCAGGAAGGGAGGGGAGCCTTGGGGTGGTGGGTGGAGAGGAGCAGTTGGAGGTATGGGGGGCTATGATTGCACGTGTCATATAAATTTGAACCAGATCATCTCTAGGAGTGTCAGTGATCCCACCTGGGCAGATCCACATGGCACGAAAGTATGAATAAATTGCCTCCCCCAGCCCAGTCTCAGCTGTGTCCTCAGAGATGAGAAGTTTCCGCTAGATTCATCTCTGAAGGCTTGCGTGGTTTTAGGAGGCCTTCTGTTCAATTTCTGATAGATGCTGATGAATGAAATTGTCCGACATTTTGCGTACAAATCAATCCCTTTAATGAAGTTATATCTACTTCACTTATCCACTCAGTGCTTTACTGTGATAGAAGTTACCTCTCGTCTAAATGTATTACAAAGCACAATTGAAGAGGCCCAGAAGACTCTGGCAGTCTGCAAAGCCCTCAGCATCCTTGCCTCACTGAGACTAAGGGAAGCTGTGGGCCCACCTGGGTCTGAGTGCCCACATTAGAGGTGAATGGTGGGTAGCAACTCTCTGCCGAGGATGTTTGTGCATCTTAATAGAGGAGCTCATTAGCCCCAGTGCTTCCTGGTTAATGACTCATGTGGGGGTAGATTCTGGACACCCTTCTTGACTCCTGTTCCCCTTCCCACAAACACAAGACCACTGGTGGGCAAGCCCTGGTTGGGATAATGTCTTAATTACACCTTCTAATGTACCTGTTTGGGTCTTTAGCGCTGGGAATTACACAGATACATTCCCGCTTGCAAAAAGTTCTCTCGATCCAAGATTTCTGACCCTGGAAGAGAAAGAAGTGGAAGCGAGACAGATATATTCAGAAGCCATCGCCAGAGTTCACCCTTTTATGTTTATAAAATGACTCTGCCATTAACAGGAAGTTTTCCCGTAACACTGGAATTATCAATTGTTATTAGTTGCCATCAAGTCAGCTCTTATTCATTATGACCTTATGTACAACAGAATGAAATGCTGCCCCGTCATCCACCATCCACATGGTCATTGGTAGGTATGTTTCAGTTCATTGTTGTAGCTATTGTATTACTTTCCAACCCAGTGGGCACATCTTCCACCACTATATCGGACAATAAGCAGTTGTGATCCATAGGGTTTTCATTGACTAATTTTCAGAAGTGGATCATCAGGCTTTTCTTCCTAGTCTGTTTTAGTCTGAAAGCACTGCTGAAACCTGCCCACCATGGGTGACCCTGCTGGTATTTGAAATACTGATGGTATAGCTTCCAGCATCGTAACAACACGCAAGCCACCGCAGTGGGACAAACTGCCAGACAAGTGGTGGGATATTGGAACAGCCACCTCCCCTGGTTGATGCAAGTCTTTAAGGATCTCAGCTCTCACTCCTTTTAAGAGAAACGGCTGGATTCAGCACGCCTCCGAGGAGATGGTGCAGATAGACCTTCTCTAGCATGAAGCACCTCGCCTCTGTGGCTGTCCTGACCCTCAGCCTGGTCTTTCCTCCTTCCGCTTGGCTTGCTTGGCAGAAACAGCAGCAGCTTGTCCTCAGCCTTGGCGACCCATCCCTCACACCCAGGTACTCAAGAATCCCAAGGGCCATTGATTTGTGGATAATAGTACTAATGTGGCTTCTGTCATTTTAAAGTCATTTTCAACTATAAATTTCAGTTGGGTGCTTTTAAAAAGGACTAGTACCAATTTCTGCCGAGTCAGTTCTTAGTTGCTGTGACCCCATGTGTGTCAAGTAGGACTGTGCTCCATAGGGTTTTCAATGGCTGACTTTTAGGAAGTAGATTGCCAGGCTTTTCTTCTGAGGCACCGGTGGGTTGACTTGAACCTCCAGTCTTTTGGATAGCAGCCGAGTATGTTAATCATTTGCACCACCCAAAGGGGCACCTTTACAGGGGAAGGAAGAAGGAAAGGAGGATCCAGATAAGGAAAGGCTGGTGCTGCCTTCAGAGCTAGTTTCAAAAGGCCAGTGGGCCTTCTGAGCCCTGATTATTTCAGGAATATTTACTTCATCCTGGCTGCCTTCAGAATCTTCCTTTCCATCCTCCACCCCCAGGGCAGACGCAGAGTGGAGCTCCTCCACCTGGCGTGCAGCCCTTTGTATGAGTACAACCGTCTTCCCAGGGGGACCTCCCAGCACGTCCTTGAGTGGAGACTCTGAGGCCCCTCCTGGCCCCTTCCTCATGCCTACGTTATCAGACTTCCTGTTGCCATTCCCTCTGCCTTCCAGCCCCACCTCAAGAATGAATCCTTCCTTAAAGTCTGGCTCAATGGGCTTGATCTGCATGGAGCCTTCCCTGGTGGTCCTTGGGTGACGGGAGCCCGAGAAGGAGCTCCCAGGGCCCCTCTGCTCCGCCCTGAGGAGAAGATACTGTGCCAGCTTCCGGGGTGCAGTGGGTGCTTCATAGATGTTTGTCCCATGGATGAATGGATGGATGGATGGATGGATGGATGGATGGATGGATGGACAAACAAGGAGTCCTTGCCCTAGACAAACTTGTGGTCATCACCACATGCAGAACCTCCGTTTGCCTCCAGATGGTTGAAATAATGGACCTCAAAGGAGCACTGTCTGGTCACTGCTCACCCAGCAAACTTCAGTCATCACCATGCAGCATGGAGGATGGAGCGTGGTTGTGAGCTCTTCCAGACGAGGCTGGAGGAGACGAGGGTGAGTTTAGCAGAGGGAAGAAAGGACAGAAGGACTCTTTCTTAGGAAATGTCTGCCCTTTGTAAGGAAACATGTATTTAGAGTGGATAATCTTGAAATAGTCAGAAGACAGAAAAGGAAAATGCAAGGCCCCTAAAATAGAAGGAAACATTTTCTAGAGTTGGCAAATGAGTCAAAGCTGCTCAATTGCTCTTTTACAAAATCGAGATAAATTTCCCTGCCAATGGGACTGCAGGAATGGCCCAGCTCATCCTGCCGCCTTCCCAAGAGCCAGATGATTTCTGAATCTCAGTTGTGTAACCAGTAAAACAGGTGCACTTGTCCGTGAGTGTTAGATGACTGTGCATATAAGGTGCCTGTGTCCTGCCTGGTGTGTGGCTGTCGGCATACACATGAGCGTGTGTGTGCTGCTTGTTTAGGAATTCAGGAAGAAGTTTCCATGGTGTCTGATGGTTTGATTCCCTAAAGGTGAAAAGATCAAAGTAATGCACTTTGATTTAGTATCTGTAAACATGAAAACATTGTTTTCTGTGGTATGGTGTGTGCGGTAAAGACTTTTGCCGTTTTAGCCATGTTGAGTGTGCAGTTCGGTGGCATTGATGGTGTTGCAGTGCTGTGTGGCCAGGCTTTTTCATCACTGAACAGAAGCTCAGTGCCCCTCAGGCCGCGATGCTCCCCCGTACCCCGCCCCAGTCCCTGGTTTTTGTTGTTGCTAGCTGTTGTCGAGCTGCCCCGACTCATGACGACTCCGTGCACAATGGAACAAAACGCTGCCCAATCGCGTGCCATCCCCATGTTGCACATTGGACCATTGGACCATTGTGATCTGTACGGTTTTCGTTGGCTGATTTTCGAAAGTAGATCACCAGGCCTTTCCTCCTAGTCCATCTTAGTCAGGAAGCACCTCTAAAACCTGTTCAGCCTCATAGTGACATGCAAGCCTACACTGACAGATAGGTGGTGGCTGTGCATGAGGTGCATTGGCTGCGAATTGAACCCAGGTCTCCTTCATGGAAGGCAAGAATTCTACCACTGACCCACCAGTACCTTCCCAGTCCCTGGTAGCCACTAGGAAACTTTTGTTTCTACGGAGACAGAGAGAGAAAGAGAAAAGACTTGGAATTGCATGTACACCGAAGTCAGCTCCAGCAGGTTGGTGCCCTGGGAGAGAGCCCGCTGAGAGCTGGTGCTCAGGGAGCCCTGGTGTGAATGCGAGTCCCTGGAAGGGACAGACAAAGTCCGCAAGTCTCTTGCTTTGCTCTCAAAGACCCCATCTCCTCCAGCTCTCCAGGACCCCCATGCCATAGTATTTCTACAAGCGGACTCTCTAACTGGTGCTCAGATGCACTGAACGTTAATTTTGTAATTAAAAATTCAAGGTTGTGAGGAAACGGGTACTTGTCTTACATCACTGCTCGGCCTGTAAGTTGGTACAGTATCTACGGAGGGCAATTGCCAATAATTTATCACAATTACAAATCGAATAACCTTTGGCCCAGTCAGTCTACTTCTAAGATTTTATTTTACAGATATGCTTGAACACATGCTTATGACTATTTCTTGCAGTATTGTTTGTGATGTGAAAAGGCTGGAAATCACCTACTACCTGTCAGCAGAGGACTGTTCTCTGTGTTATGGAACACTCTCCCATGGGATAGTCTGCAGCTATTTTAAAAAGTTATATATATATTAAAAAAAAGACGCTCTCTGTGTCTCATTAGGGAAACATCACCAAGTTATAAAACCACCAGTTGCTGCTGAGTCCCACTCCAACACATGGCGACCCCACGTGTGTCAGTGTAGAACTATTGTCCATAGAGGTTTTAATGGGTGATTTTTCAGAAGTAGATTGCCAGGCCTTTCTTCTGAGGCACCTCTGGGTGGACTTCAATCTCCAATCTTTGGCTTAGCAGCCGAGTGCGTTAACCATTTGCCTCACCCAGGGCCTCCTCCCATAGCTCTACCACAGTAGTAATTAAGTGGTACTATTTTTTCTTTTGCTGAACCCTAATTTATCTATAGCCACTTGTTGAAGATATTTTTTGTGCCAAGGGCTGCACTGGGTGCTGTGGGGACTTCTGAGGAGATAACACCAGGGCAAGTACAGTTCACCATCGGGAAATGTCGGATGAGGGTGGAGACAGTGCATGCCCATGGGGCTGGCAGCTTGAGGAAGACGAAGGAGGTGGCGGAAGATTCAGCGTGGAGGCCCTGCCTTATGCCAGCCACCGCGGTGTGGCCCTGCTGGCTGTACCCACGGCCCTGACTTGTCCGCAGTCCAACTGACACCCTTCATGAAGGGGGAGACTTGGGCTCACAGCGGGAAGGAACGGCCCCGCATCACAGGTGCCCCCAGTGATCTGTCTCCCAGGATTTGTACGAGACAGTGAGTGAAGACAGCGGGAAGAGTCTTCCCAGGGAGGCGGAGCAGTGAGGAAACAGGCAGCGGGATCATGTGCGTGGTGAGTTTGGGGATGAGGTGCCTGGGGGTTCCGTGTCAGAGTGTGGTGGACAGTGATGGTGGAGAGAGGTTGTCCACGCCACTTGGGAGCCCGTGATCTCCTTTGATTCTCAATGAGACCTGGCCTAGTGTGTGTTTGTGTATTTGTGATGTGTGTGTTTGTACGATGTGTGTGTGTATAATGTGATGTGTACATGAGAGGTGTGTATGTGTGTGGTGTGTGTTTGTGGTATTTGTGTATGTGTGATGTGTTTGTGTGATGTGTGTGCGTGTCTGTAGTGTATGTGTGTGAAGTCTTGTGTATATATTGTGTGTGTATGTGTGGAATATGTGTGGCGTGCGTATGACGCGTGTGGTATGTGTGTGTCTCTGAGGTTGTTTGTGGGGGCTGGCAAGCACAGGGAATGAAGTGGTTTTTCGCATGTGAAACCTGGAGAATCCTAACTCAGATCTTGGAGAAACCATGGCGGTCAGAGCATCACATCCTTGGCCACTTCCTGGTCTCCAGGGGAAGCACCGCAGGGTGGCCTGTGACCAGGGTGTCTAGATACCCGCCACCCCTACTCCCAAGGCAGCAATGCTGATTTGGGGGCTCTTGTGTCTCTGTGCAGGTCACCTTCTACAAGGGCTGCAGTGACAAACTGTTGCCAAAGGGGGCCTCCCCAGCGAGGTCATGTCAAGGACC